ATTATCACAAACAACAATGAGGGTTTATGCCCTGGAGGGTTTGCAGGTCGAGAGTTGGGGAGCAGGCCTCCCATTTATGTTTCCAAAACAAGGTAAAATGTTGATACAAAAGGGGGGATTTTTCATCAATACTCCATCACATTCTGCAAAAGATGACACAATAAATCCTTTGCCCTTGACACGTCTTCCCTGAAGGAATCTGAGCTGTTTTGTTTTTCAGTGGTGTTGACATCTGTCAACAAGGTTGTTAACCACTAATTAGCCGTCTGCGGCCCAAGAAGCTACCCCCCCCCCCCGCCCAACTTGTGGGTGAGGCAAAAGTGAGCCAGCAAGGGAACCTTTAGTAGAGACTCTCAAGGTTTGACAAAGAGCGCTGGGCAAAGTCATACCCCCTCAGCCCTCCACAAATTGCCCAGTGTTCAAATATGGAGCTCATCACAAAACTGACCTCCTTTTCAGAAGCTTGGAAAGTAGAGAAGGCTGCTTCATTTGAAAAGGTTCCAGGATACACAAATGTAGCAGGAACAGCCAAAGCAGATGCAGGGAAACATATCCCTTTGCACAAGAGGCCCAACAGCTGATTTTAAGAGGCTTATGAAAGGTTTAAACAGGCAATAAAGCAAAGGCACATGAAATAAATAAATAAATAAATAAATAAATAAATAAATAGCTCAGTTCTATCTGTCCTAACACAGCTACTTCACAAAGAGACTTCTGATCTCCTCATGAATTGTATGTTCAGAAAGACATTGAGGGGAGACAGGGAGTTGGCAACATGTCAGCTTTTAAGGGCCCCTGACCCTGTCAAGCTCTGACTGACAGGTGGATTGCTCTAGCCCGTAGAATGAAGGCCAAGGAAGGTGCTGTCAGTGGTCCATTAAGGCAAACGTGTGCTGCCCCACCAACCTTAGCCTGCCCTCAGCCAGCCCCCAACTGTGTTGCTTGTGCCTAGTCCAGGGGATGGTCCTGGTTGCCAGCTTCCTCCTCCTCCTCCTCCCTGTAAAACTCAGAGGATGAGGGCAAAATGAGAGCCAGTTGGCTCTGTCCGCCATTGGCTCTGCCTCCATCGACTGTTGGTCTCCCTACCTTCTGCCCACCAGTCACTGCTGGGTGCTGTCGGCCCCTGGGGAAGTGGAAACTGAGGCTGTTGAAGTATTCCTGCCTGCTGGATTTCCTCCCCTCCTGAAGGGCAAAGTTCCCACAGACTGACTACTGGAAACTTGGTGGGACTCCATGGCCTGTCTCCTCTGGGAAGCTGAGGGACTTGGAGGTGTTTAACTGCAGGTGTCTCAGGCTGGAAGGTAGCTGAGAACGAGAGGTGGCCCAGGATACAATATACTGTGAGACATTTGAGCAGCCCTTCAAATATTGCTGGTGGCCAGCATGGCCAATGGTCAGGGACGATGGTAGTGGTGGGCCTATGGTGGTAGGCCCCATGGTATCTAGAGGGAACCCAGTTGGGAGGGGAGCATGCGGCAGGGGCAGAAGGGCACCAGCTGGGTGAGAAGAATCTGACTTCCCCCTGTGATCTAATAGATGATAGGTCTGGTCATTGGCCAGGGGTTTGCCACCATTCCAACTAAACTTCACCTTTTCCAGAATCTGCTTCTCTTCACCCTAGTTTGGAACTGAACTGGCTGAAAAAAGGAAGGCACCTCCATGCTGCTTCATTTGTCAGAATTAAATGCACCAGTCCTGAAGCCCTGTCTTTCATCTTAGGAAAGAGAGAGTGTGCACAGTCATCTTGTGGTAGTGGGGGCCAAGATGCACCCACCTTCCTGGCAGTGCCAAGTCTCCCCCAAAGCAGGCTCAGCTATTCCACTGCAGCTGCAGGGAGAAACTCAGGGCTGGGAGAGGCAAGGTGGGGAGGAGAAGGCTGGGTGAGCCAAGCCCAGTTCCGGCCAGCTGGGACTGCTGGCCCAGAAGGTGCCCAACCCTCACCCAAGGTCAGTCTCTGTCAGAGCAGGCAAGGGGGGGAGGGAGCGTCTTCTGGGCTCAGCCAGCAGCAGCAGGTGGTATCCCAGGGAGAGCTCCTCCTCCTGTGAACTGAGAAGAGCTCTAAGAACAGCAGGCTCCCCACAGGCAGGCTGGACCCATTTCCCAGTACCTGACTGAGGAGAGGGAAGAGACTGGATAGGAGCACACGTCCCCAGCCCCGTGAAGAGCCTCGATGGTGGTGAGTTGGGGTTGCAGAACCCAGTCCTGGGAAAGAGCCAGGATCCCCCCTCTCCCTCTGTGTCCCCCTGCCCCACAAAGCCTCCCTGACTCTGGGTCAGCATCAGCCCAGGGGAGTCAACAGAAAGGGGGTCCCATCTGGGTACTGAGGGACTCATAGCCCACCTGATGCCAACTGCCATGAGCTCTCCTCTCTTTCACTCCCAGTGGCTGGCAAGGAGGCTGTGCTAGTGTTGGGGCAGGGGGACCCCAGTGTGGCTTCAGTGGAGGGATTTGTACAGGCCCCTAACTGACCCCTGACCCCTCCCCTCCCTGAATCTTTGGGGTGGGCAGGCTCTGGATTGAGGGCCAAATTCAGGTTTGCCTTTCCTTGGAAATTTAGTGCCAGAAACCTGACACACACACCCATCTCAGTTTCTGGCACTATTCTAATATTCATCTAATGTTTATTGGATGGATTTTCCCCCAAATAGATTTTTGAATTCTGAATTTATTGTTATTCACGTTTTATACTGTATTTTATGCTGTTTTTTGTTGTATCAATCAAGTGTTTTAAATTTGTTATTAGCCGCCCTGAGCCCAGTCTTCTGAACCGGGAAGGGCGGGGTATAAATAAAATTATTATTATTATTATTATTATTATTATTATTATTATTATTCACCTGATTACAGAGGAGGTTGTGTAGCTGCATCCTTTGTTTCGGGAGGGGTCTGCAGATGCTCTATCTGTCAGTACCCACCTGGGCATAAATAAAAAGGCCTGGATCTCTGGGTCCTCCTTCTAATTCCATGCTGGTATCATGGAGGGGCTGTGTTGGCAAGAGGTGGCAGGCAGGCATTTTCATTTTGGGATTCCCTTCTAAAAAAAGGAGAGGTTCTGAGGCTTGGACCTGCCTGCAAGCCCCATCCATCCCTCAGTCCCAGACAGAAAAAAGCACTCTGCATGTGTAAAGAGGCACTCTGTTTTCTGGGATTACTGTTAAATCTCTGGCTTTCAAACTGTTCTTTGGGGGTGGGGAGGCAGGGAGGTTGTGGGCTTGTAAGGTGTGGTTCAAATGACATTCCAGCCCTTTCCCCCTCTTTCCTCCCTGCAGGCAGCAGCCCTGCATCAAGATGCCTTGCAAAGCCCATTAGTCATCCTTGCTGAGTGTTTACCCTAAACAGTGGCTGCCTAACAGGAAGAAGGAAGAGAGGGGGGTAAGAGGGAATGCAGCTCAGTCCTAAATGGAGAAGAATAAGGAGCAGGCAGAAAACCTGGACCATGGGAATTGCCAGGTCAAAACAGCTGAGTTCTGATGATCTGGGGATTCAATTTCCCCTCCCTGCTGTTGGACAGAGCCACAAGGTTGTGTGTGTGTGTGTGTGTGTGTGCGCGCGCGCGCGCACGCATACACACATTTCAGAAGTGTGGCCCAGGCTTTGCTTCCTGCTCTCCCTTCCTGATGGACCATAAATGCTGCTCTTGTGTACTGTTTCAACATGACCGGATGCTTCTGAGGAGCAGGAACCAAAACATGGCTTGTAAGATCTGCTTAACAGGGTTGAGTGGAAAGACAGTTCAAGGTCACAGGAAAGCTCCTGCTGGCACCGCTGCTTGACAACTGGGAGCATTTGGGGTCTTCTCACTTGGTTGACTTGCTTCAGACCCCTTTGCTTTGATTAAAGCCCATTTGTCCATTTGGGGCGCAGATATTGCTGAACTCCAGCTTTCTTCAGCAACTAGCATGGCCGGTGGTCAGGGAAGGATTCCAACAACCTCTGATCAGTCCCAGGATCCCTAAACTTGTGTACTGTTGAAGTCTGTGGAAATTTGAGGTCCCATCTGATAGTTTAAGCACTATTATTTTTCCTTTATGGCCTTTTTCTTTAAAAGTTCAGCATTTATGAATCACCATGGGGGAAGCACTGTTAAACAGCTGAACCCCTTTGAATCATTTGCAGGAATTCATCATGTTCAACCTGAGGCATAGCTCAGTTGGTAGAGGATGAGACTCTTAATCTCAGGGTCTGGGGTTTGATCCCCATGTTGGGTGAAAGATTCCTGCATTGCAGGGGGTTGGACTAGATGATCCCTGTGATCCCTTCAAACTCTATGATTCTATGATCTTTCACCTTTCTCTAAAGCATTTTGTGTGCAAAGAGGTCTTTGTAACAATTGCAAAACTTTGCATGTAGCCATGTGTGGGCTGTATGTATCAGCCGCAGTTGAATTATATGGCGATAGAGAGCCTGGTGTGTGTGTGTGTGTGTGTGTGTGTGTGTGCGTGTGTGTGTGAGAGAGAGAGAGAGAGAGGGAGGGATTTTGGTAGTGCCTTCCTGCAGGCTTGTAGAAGATGTGTTCAGAGATTCTTCTTTTTTCACTGCCCTGTTCCCCAGTTTAGAAGCAACATAAACTATTTTAATTAATATTGTGTCACCAAAAGGGCTTGAGATGGCCAATTGAATTCTACCAAGATATAGTATTTTGATGAAAACATATCTTTATTGATTGTTGAAGATGAAAATCATTCTTAAAATGCAATCCAGAGAAAAATCATATCCCCCCGAGAAAATTCCTGAGTGGCAGGCCAAGATTAACATCATAAAATTGAATTTGTGCTTCAAACCTTTGATGTAATCAGCAGCTGGAGGATGGTCTTGCCCTCGCGGTGCTCCTTCTGATGGTGGGGAATTATGGAGGGGAATGAAATAAGTGTTTCTGGTGCCACTCATCCTAGAAATACAAACAAGATATTACTGGCGGACCCTGGCTGGTTGAAATAGCCTATATTGATCCCTGGATCCAGCTCACTGTGAGAGAGTGGGGGGGGGGGGAGGCGGCACCCATGGATGGCTTGGAGGTGGGGGAGGGAGATGGCTGTCACTCAGCAGGGACTCCTCTGGCCAATCAAAAGGCAGCCATTGCAGGGCCCCAGGAGCCCAGCAGGTTGGAGCTTCAGGCAGAATCCGGGGAGGTCAAGAGCCCTTGCACATGAAACAGAGACGGATTTAGGGTAACACAACTGCAGTGGTCGCACCGAGTGCCGTGCTGCAGGGGTGCCAAAACAATGCTACAGAGCACAGTGCACAGGGCGCTTTGTCACACAGGGCACCACTGAAATTCGAGAGCCCCAAGTCCACCACTGCACAAAAAGAAGCGGAAAAGCCAAGCGGATGTGGCAAGGGCTCTTTATGCTCAGCCACTGAGCAAGAGGTGGGGCAAGATCTGGGGTAACTGACTCATCACTGCACCATTGCACCACATGACTGTGCCCCCTTCCATAACCTGAAAAGAGCCCGTGAAATATACTCGGAGTTGAGTGTGGATTTCATGCTCTTTATTCAGCTCATAATGGTGAGGAGGAATGGAAGTTCCTCCGAAATGTCTGCTTTATATACATTATTTACACAATGGGCCCCACTTGATTGGCTAATTCTGGGATTCTCCTGTAGGCCAATCAGGTTGCGGATTCACTTCCACCTGGAGTTGGATTGGGTGGCTCCTGTGGACCAATCAGACTGCTGCATTCTGGATCCTATTGTTCTAGGACCAATCAGACTGCTTCATTCTGAATCCTATTGTTCTAGGACCAATCAGACTGCTGCATTTTGGATCCTATTCAACTCAGTACATAACAGCCCACAAGAACTCTGTGCCATTCCTAGCCCTCTGGTCATCCTGGGGGGCTTAGCCTCCTCCTCCCAGGCCATTCTTCTGGCCCACCTCCCCAGAAATCACAGCATTTCCATCTTGTGTGACTTCTGACTTCTTCTGCCTCTGTAAATGAAAGCTGGTGTGTTCCATCTTAAAGTCCCCCAACTTTAAGACACACACTTCTTTGATATGCCCCACCCATCTACTAGGCATTGACTGAACAACTTCCCTTTAAGTTAACACCCACCCAGCTGCATCTTCTGGCTCCACAGGTCTTAAGAGCATCTTCCTGGCTAAGAGCAAACTCTGCCCATTGGCTGTGGCAAGCAGGCAGCTCGTCACTCATGGCCACCTGAGCTCAAACATCATGCATATGGCTTATGGACAGTGCTCCTTTCTTCCTGCCTTTGACCAGCTAAGGATGCTGTTTGCTTCATCCCACTCTAGAGTATATGAGCATTTTGGGACTCTCCGCTATAGTCTGCAGCTAGATAGCTGTTTATATCCTTTTTGTCTCTTAGATCCTATTCTTAATTCTAAAAAAAATATGTTTCTTTCATCTGGTATTGAAGTGAGTTTCTGATGGGCTCCTTCACCAACTAAGGTGGGGCAAGTCCATGAAAAGTGAGCTGTGTTGTGGCCTGCAGAGCAGGAAGGGAGTTGTCCTCATCCAGTGTTATGTACTGAAGTTCTCACCCTGGGCCAGCAGGGGGATACTGTAGATAGTTATGCAAATGAAGGATCGAAAGTGACGTTCAGTGATTGGATAGTTTGTATGCAAATGAAGGATCGAAAGTGACGTTCAGTGATTGGATAGTTTTAGAAAGTTGCAACAGTTACGTTGTTCTGGAGCTCTATATAAGCAGGCTGACTGAGCCCTTCAGTTCAGTTCTGTTCTGGCATCTGAATAAAGAAGAGCTGTTTGAAGAATCGCTGTGTCGTCTGATATGTTCACCCACAACTTACCATCCAGGAAGGTAGTTCTATCTTCCAAGTCAAGTGTGAGAGGACTAAGGGAGGCAGCGGCAGCAGAAGCATTGTCTTGTTTTTGTTGTGCAATTGGTAAGCACCTTGGCAAGAAGATGGACTCTAAATATATTCATCAAATAAGAGAGATCTCTGGAATAACCAGCTTTTCTTCCTCAGGTGCCAAACCACCCAAAACAATGGGGCCAGGTGGAGGGGAGAGAGTTCCACAGGGGTGGTGCAATGACTGAGAAAGCTAAATAATAATAATCTCTCTCTATTCAACTGACTGCTGAATGCCCTTTCCTTTTGTTTTTAGGTTAGCTCACCATGAAGACCTCAGTTCAGCTTGTGACATTGTGGGGGAACCGAGCCCCAGCTCACAGCATCACAGCCATCTTGATCACGGAAGACCAGAGAACCATTGTTACGGGGAGTCAAGAAGGACAAATCTGCCTCTGGGACCTGTCATCATCAGACCTGAAGGTTTGTGGTATTGCAGGGGAGTCAGTCATCTTGCTGCCCCATCCTATCATGTCTTCCTTTCCTCTTTCCTTCCCATGAGGCCTCTTATAGCTACCGTGCCCAAGACATGCCACATCCGTGGTCAGAAATCCCTGTGGAAGAAACCCTTCTCAAATAATATTTCCCATGGTATATAAAACTATTAGCAGTACTATTTTTGAACAGCCGCTTTAGAACACGGGCTTGTTGTGAGATACCAGAGGTTGTATGAATCTCCTTCCCCAGAAGGGCTCATAGTAACCCCAGAAGCACCAGTCCCCTTCTCCTCCTCTCAGCAGCAGGACATCTGCTTTGTGTGGCCGAGGAAAAGCCACTTCTGCCCTTTGGAGGAGGTGGAGTTGTGGGCTTCACGGCCCCACCACGCGCGCGGTACCTAGAACTCAGCCCCCATGCGATTGGGGGGATTCCCGGCCACATCACCTCCTAGCCAGCCAATCGGCTGGCTCTGGGGGTGTGGCCTGCCCGATTTAAACCAGGACGCGGCTGTGGATCTCCCTCTTTGCCGCCTGCCACCTGTTCCTGCTTTTCCCACCCTCCCTCCTTATAAGGTTTTCATTCCTTGACCTTGCTATGGACCTTGGTTGGTTGCTGTTGAGGGGCCTGGTAGGAATTTTTCCACTTAGCAAATTGGCACCAGCCACTTGGTTTTCACCTACCTTGTAGCAAATCGTCACAACTTTCTTGGTATTGGCGGTTAGGCATTGGTATTGCTCTGTAGATGGAAGAGGGGAGGTAGCGCCATCACCTGCCCTGCATATTGAAGGGTAGTCCGATAAAGGATTCCGGGGGGCATGGCCCTGTCAGAAGCCTGGGGAGGTGAGGGCCTAAGGCACGCCCCCTATCGGTGACCCCGGGGGAGTTCCTAGTTGATGTGCATCAGCAGGACTCCCCCTACTGGTGGTTAACCCTTCCTGGACTTCAAGTGGACGGGCTGTAGTTGGATATAGTCGGTTAGGACCAAAGCCTAAGCCAATACCGCTCATCACCTGTAACCAATAAAGTTGTGGCCTTATTTAGCCCATTAACCTTAACAATTGTGTCATGTGTCATTATTTCCTTTGGGGGGGAGGGGCGGCGGGAACTCACCATGCAAGAATTTTTACTCGTGTGTCCTTAGAAAACAGCCACTCTGACATTGCTGCATGGTTTTGCTGTTCTAGATTTCATCAAAGCAAATGCTCTTTGGTCACACGGCATCAGTGACCTGCTTGGCCAAGGCGAGGGACTTTGAGAAGCATCCATACGTGGTCAGTGCTACTGAGAACGGGTCAGTCGCTTTGCATTTCCCATGATGTGCAACCATCTCTTCATTTCAACGGTGGGAATAACCAGAGTGGCAAGGAAGGATGCAATCTCTTCTTGAACAGTAGGCTGGTGATTCGTGGCTTTGGGGAAGAGCGGTCCTTGCTAGACAGGATCCATCAGGAACATTTCCTGGAGGAGCCCCATGGAAGATGGTTCTGCTACACCTTCCCCTGGGGACAGTCTTGGGGGGAGAGTCCTTAGAGCATGAAGGCCTGGTAGATGTAGCAAAACAAAACGAGCTCTCCAATATGCCACAGCCTGTAAACATAAGTGCATATATAAAAAGCATGTTTTTGAGCTCTTTGGTCTCTGAATATGTGCACCTGAGAATGATGAATGCCTGTGTGAGATAAAATATTTTAAAACCACCCTTCACCCAAGGATTCCTAGGCAGTAGACAATAAGCATGAATAAAAGTATTCTTACACAACATAAATACAATAAAATCAGTGGCCTTCATAGCAAACAGAAAGGCAAAAACCCTAAAAACTACTGAGCAGGACTAAGGCAACATAATAATTTAAAATCCCTCAGCATATAAGAATGTCTTCTTAACCTAACATCCAAAAGATGTAGAGACAGCCCCAGTCTTACCCCTTTGGGGAGGGCATTCTGAAGCCACCACAGAAAAGACCTTGTCCTCCTGTCTTCATGCATCAGGAATGTTTGTTAGAGCGTGGTATTGGCTGAAGATTGTGAGACATTTTAAGTCAAGCTGCTGGCACACCCAGAGGTGCTCCTTCGGGCATTTGGGTTAATGCCAGCTTCTTGACCTGAGCTCAGAAGCCAGCCAGCCAATGTTGTTTGCTTTCAAAATATGAAAATACCTGGCTGAAGCAGTTTAAGTACTGCAATGTGCTTCCGTGAAGTAGCTTGTGTGGTTATAATTGTATGTGTCCCAGTAAATGTGATGAAAGTTGATGTTTACCAATAATGGGATGCGACAGGAAAGAAATGTTTGGGCTTTGGACATTTTGATAAACCACTGGATTTCATCACAATAGCCATCATGTCTTCCTAACCTCACTTTTCAGAATGAATTTCATAGTGGCATTAATAATAATAATAATAATAATAATAATTTATTTATTTATTTATTTATTTATACCCCGCCCATCTGGCTGAGTTTCCCCAGCCACTCTGGGTGGCTCCCGATTATTAAAAACAATACAGCATTAAATTATTAATTGAAGGATGATAAAGGGTGGAGATATTTAAACATGATCTTGGGGCCCTTCACAGAGGCTGGTGCATCTGTGGACATTTCTAACAGAAGGTCATTCTGGTGGTCAGTCTGCAAGGTCCAAGATGTATCTTTCTGGATGTTTGTGATGGTGCTGACAATCCACATAACATCACAATGGGCTGAGAAAGAAACAGAGAGGCTGCCAGGGGTTTGCATGTATGGATGCAGTAGGGTTTTCTTGCTCTTCAAAATAATAGTGCCAAATTAAATAGATTTAGGCTGCATTCCAATACTGCACTTATTTCCAAGTAAACATGCATAGGATTGGGCTGTGAAAACATTTTGATAGACCTAACAGAAGGCCTGTTTACTAAATTTGAAATAATTTGCACAATACAATAAAATAATAAAGCTTCAGCAATATGCGCTCACGACCCTTGAATTCACACTGATGGTTCTGCAATGAGGTGCACATCTCACAGCTGTCCTCAGGGTGTCACTGTTTGTTCTTTGCCCAGATTGACACGTTTTTCTGAGCAGCCCTGATCCTGGGCAGAGAGAAAGGGGAGGGAGGATGCTTTGCAAAGCAGGCAGTTCAAGTTTAGTGAAATGAAAATCACTTTCTGCTCTTCCAGTAAATGATGGCTGCAGTGACAAGTTGACGAGCTGTAATGGGAGCCATAATGGCCGCTTTTGTCACAGGCCTGTCGTGCCCTTGCAGGTAGCTATGGCAGCAGCCAGCTGCAATTTCCAAAGCAAAGTGAGGCTGTGCTGCTCTTGCTCCTGCTGTCTGGCCTCCTCCCTCCACCCCAATAAACAGCAGCAGTTTCCCTCAGGTTTCCCTCTGCAAGTCAGCCACACAAATGGTTGGTCCTTTGTGCCGAGGAAAATCACCCAAGCCACAAGAAATTATTATTCTGACTAGGTAAAGGTACCCCTGACCGTTAAGTCCAGTTGCGGACAACTCTGGGGTTGCGGAGCTCATCTCGCTTTACTGACCCAGGGAGCCAGCTTCCGGGTCATGTGGCCAGCATGACTAAGCTGCTTCTGGTGAACCAGAGCAGCACATGGAAACGCTGTTTACCTTCCCGCCAGAGCGGTACCTATTTATCTACTTACACTTTGACGTGGTTTCGAACTGCTAGGTTGGCAGGAGCAGGGACCAAGCAACGGGAGCTCACCCCGTCACTGGGATTCAAACCACCGACCTTCTGATCAGCAAGTCCTAGGCTCTGTGGTTTAACCCACTGCGCCACCCGTGTCCCATTATTTTGACTACTTGGCTACAAATCATATCGGATGGAGAGTAACAACAAGCTATTTTTTTTGACAGGGAAATGTGCGTCTGGAATGTTATCTGTGGGCGGTGTGTGGAAAGCACAAGGCTTCCCTTTCGGCACACAGCGATTTGTGTAAGTACAGCCAACTTCACGGTGAAGAACTTCTGTCCATCTGCCCATTGGGACTCTCTGTACCCAGCCTGGATGATGCTTCTTCCATATGTTTTTTAAAATAAAAAAATCAGATCCACTGAAATGCTGTCCTTCCTGGAGCAGATTGGGTCACTAGAATCTCAGCAAAACAACCACCATTGGTACTAGCACCCAGAGCTGTCTGAATACAGGCTACCTCTTTATTTGCTGTGCAATGTCTCATTGGTGCAGCTGTTCCTGTGGGCCCTTTCAGCCTGCTGGTCTTTGTCCTCAGTGCCAGGAGTTAGCTGTTCCCAGCACTGCAGGGGCAAATCATTGGGCTGGGTAGAGGTGGAAGCTCCACTGGTGGCCCCCTCCCCCCCAACAGGCCAATGAAGGCCAGAGAGGAGGGAGGGAAACAGGTCAAGCTGGGCACCTGCTAGAGAGGTGGCTGATGTGGATGCCACTGCTGAGGAAACATATCAAAGTGCCACACCTGCTGCCCCTGGATATCCTCTCCTTCTCACCCATGGGGCAGAGCAGATGCACACCTACTGGCAAACTCAGCTGAGGACCTCAGGATATGGCAAGGATGAGCACCTGGACAACAGGAACCCGGCAGTCTCTTTCCAAAGAGATCAAAGCAAGCCACAAGGGAGGTTCCAAAACCTCTTGGGTCCATTCGGCAGGCAGGCGAGAAATCTTACCTGCTGGCCCCAATCCAGCTGCTTGCAGGAAAGCTGCAGGTGCCTTTTCTGTGCAGCAGAGCACATTTTGGCATTTTTTTCATAGGCTTTGAAGTGTGTCCAGTGTGGCTTCTGCCCGTGGATTTGGACGGGTTGCAACCATTTCTTGACAATTGTCAAGCGTACACAATGCTCATGCTGTTTGTATGAGTTGTATTCCATTTGCCGCTTTGGGGTTATTTGGGTCCTGATTCTATTATAAGCTGTACAAGTGTATTGTATGGCATTGGAGAGGGCTGGGGGTGGGAAGGGAGATGCATGGGCACCAATGGGGTGTAAATCCATGGCATGGGCTTCCCTATGGAGGTCTATTCATTTGCCAGGGAGGTGCCAGGAGTCTCTCTTTTGTCCACCTTTGTCACAGCACAAGAGGTTTGGGCTTTGGAATAGGAATGGTCATCCTAGGGTAGTGGTGTCAGTCTTCTTGGGGAGTTCTCAGTGCAAAGCAACACTTCGGAAGCCCTCGTTGGAGTCAGCCAATTCCCCACCCAAGGGCAGCCAAAAGGCATTTTAATGTGGGCGACAACATTTTGCTTTCTAGCATGCACACCAGAGCCCCATGACCGAAAGCAATCCCTCAGCGGTCTTCTTGTGGCTAACCTGTTGTGGCTTTCCCCCTTTGCTCAGTATTACCACAGCTCGTTCCGCATGACGGGAGAGGGCTGGCTCCTCTGCTGTGGGCAATATAACGATATCCTCATCATCGATGCCAAAGCGCTGTCTGTGCTTCACACCTTGACGTCCTCCCAGTCTTCGGATTGGATCAGCTGCATGTGCTTAGTGCATTCCCCTCGCATCCAAGGTAGGTCAAAGCTGTGGGAATGTACAGGGATGCAGGAGAGGATATATTGTCTGATTATATCCTTTTCCAGCTTGTGTTAACACGTTCACAATTTAGCAGAGTAACATTCCCCTTTTTAAACTTGCAGTGGATGTGTTTGCTCAGGCTTGCTAAAGCCTCTATAATAACTGTTCTGGTATTTCCCCCTTATTCCCTCATAAAAGATAAGACACGACACAGTCTTCTACAAAAGTATAAAAAGAGCTTACTCACATATCATTCTGTTCACAATCGGATCCCAGAAGGCAGACTTAGCTTAGAAAAGTAACATACACTTGGAAACTATTCCATAAGAGACAGTCCCTTTGTCCTCTCTTGGCTGGAGCCAAGAGAGAATCTTTGGCTAAGCAGATGTTGCTTCTTCAATACATGTAGTGAAAGAGAGAGAGACAGCTGCCCTGCCGTGTGCTTTTGTTGTTACCTGCACAGGTGAGGCCACACCCACCTCTAGTCACATGCAGAGGAAGTCTGTCCCAGCACAGAAGGAAACAGGAAGTTTACCTGCTGGCTGGACAAACATTTCTCCCCATGTGTAAACATGTTCACTCTAGGAATGTTGTACTTGGCTGCTCCTGTGTTTCACATCCCACAAAAGCTGGATGTTTCTGTGGGACTGAGGCCAAAGGCTCTTCACCAGGCAGGGCCAGGACCAAAAGGACAGGCTGTGGCATCCCTGCTGCAGACACTGTGGCTGCAAAGCAGAATCTCAGCTGAGTGGTCGTGCAACTGCTGGCCAACCAGTCTGTTCCTTTGGCCCTCCCTGCTGGTTTCCACCTGAGCCCTGCTTTCTCCAGGCCTTCAGCTTCCTCCTTGACACCTTTTGCTACTCTCTGCTGCCCCCTCTGCACCTTTCTCCCTAGTCTCTGCCCTTCTTTCCCCACTTATTCCTATTCCTTTCTGTAGGGATGGATTTCGGCACTAGGAGAGGATATATGGCTTAGTTCTTACCCTACCTTGCTCATGTGAGTGAGATCAGCAGAGTACCGTACTTGAAAGCTAAGCTTTTGAGGGGCCTGAAGGCACCTTGGCCCCTAGGAGTTGGCTTGCATGCTTGGGAGACGGCTGTTGTCAGGGGAATCATTATGAACTGGCAGCTGCAAGAACCAATATTTTGTGCATCCATAAGGAAAGAGCTGGGGGGAGCTGGGGATGCTGGGGGGAACAGCTTCCAGTCAGGAGGAAAGGTGGCTCGTTGGCATTAGCTAGAGATATAACATCTATATGGATCAATGGGAGAAATTGTGGAGGGAGGATATCAAATTTACGGTGTGCTATAATCTGAGAGAAAATATTATGAAAATGCTATACAGATGGCACCACACTCCAGCAAAACTTGCAAAGATGTGTAAAACAGACCACCAATTTGCCGGAGGTGTAAAGATGGTATAGGGTCATATATGCACATGTGGTGGGAATGCACAGCCATTAAAGAATTTTGGAATAACATCTACAATGAATTAAAAGAACTATTTAAGTTTTCATTTAAGAAAAAGCCTGAAACCTTCCTCCTGGGAATAATGTCACCAGAAATCAAAAAAGAAATTAGATCACATTTTATGTACACAACAGTAGCAGCCAGGATCTTAATTGCAAGAAACTGGAAAAGTGACAAAACACCTACGATAAATGAGTGGCAGGTCCAAATGATAGAATATTTACAGATCGCCATGATGACAGGGAGAATTAGAGGTTATCCAAAACAGAAAGTACAGAAAGAATGGAAAATCTTTAAAGAGTATCTGGAAAAACATTACAATAACAAATATCTCCTGGCAGAAATATAATGTTTTTTGATATCTGACGAAAACAAAGAAAGCAACACAATAATTTGGAACTGTGTGTGAAAAAATAGTAGAAATAATAACACAATGAGTCTAATCAAAAGTCAAATGTGTTTATTTTCTTTTTTTCTTTTCCTCTCCCCCCCCCTTCTTTTCTCTTTTTTGTGCCTCCTTTCTTGGTCTTTCTCTCTTTGATCTGTTAAGAAAGAGATTAAGAGATAAAAGTGTAATATGAAAACTTCAGTAAGTTAAAAGTGATGTTGTGTAATTTTTCTACTACTATTTATATATTGTTAAAATTGGTTAATTGTAATGAATTAATGTAGCAATTACTGTGGTTTTTTCCTTTGTTATTGTTGAATTCTTTTTTTTTTTTTTTAAAGAGATCCTGTTCTATGGCTTCATCCTAACAAGCATGTTTGCTCCTTCGTTTCACACAGCCAGCCCATATCCTCCTGCCTCTCCCCCTCATCCATGCCCCTTGCCCTTTTGTTCCGGCTCTATCCCCTTGCTGTGTGGATTGCTCTTCCCATTGAAAATATGTCTCTGTTGCTTTTTCTCACAGAGGACTCCTTAATAGCCGTCTCTGCAACAGGAACCCTTAAAGTCTGGGATCTGTCCTCATCAGTTAGCAGGATACGGGTAAGGAGCTACAATTTGGGCTGGCAGGCCCCATATGTCAAAATTCTAAATTCTATCCCTTGTGAAATGTTGTACTAGTTTTCTGCAGCTACTTGATTTTTAGCTTTTATTCAGAATCAGAATTTTTGAATCATCTGCAATGAGCAGTGGCTGGAAGAGGAGGAGAAGGATAATGCAGATTATGGCTAGAAGAACGAGGAAGGGCCCTGGGACTCTTAAATCCGGAGGCTTCTGCAGTCAGCACAGTGTCACAATTCTGATTGCTAGATTTATATTTATTTAAGTTATTTTCATCCAGACTTTTAGGGTCAAACCTAAGGAACTCTGATTAAAACATTAATATGATTAATAGCAAAACAATCCACAAAATAATAGTCTGCCAACAAAAACATCAGTGAAACACTCGATGGAGTCAAGACTTTTTAAAGCATCCATTTGAAAAGTACAAGGGAGGCAGGGGAGGAGGATATAAAGTGCTGGAGGGATGTGGAGTCACCACCGAAAAAGCCCTGCTAACCTGATTGTAGCAGTGGACCACCAAGCTGGACCTCTAGGCTGGGCAGCGTCATGTGGCTCTAGGTGGTCCTTCAAGCGGCCTGATCCCAAGGCATATTAGGGATCAGGTGTCATACCAGCACTTTAATTTGAGCCTGAAAATAAATGCATTGTGTGTGCAATTCTTGCAGTGTGTGGATTGGGAGGGCCTTGAGTTCAAAAAGTTGTGGCAACTTTCTCTCAAGACACCTTGGGATGCCGGGCTTTGATAGTCAAGAATCACATGAAAGCCTTGACTGATCCACTCAAGCCACAAATAGTAACTTAGATTGGCCTCTTTAATGAGAGAATTCCTCATCGAGAGCCACACCTGAAAAGGCTCTGCAGCGCCCTGTAGCAACTGGCCCTGAGCACCTGGGGAGAGCCACATGGGAGCAAGAGCATCATCTTCATGGCTTCTTGCAATTTCAGAGGAAGGGATGGAGATGTGAGGGAGAGTTTAAGCACTCATCATGGAGCTTCAAGAACTCCGGTCGTGGGGTGTGCAGAGAATCTACAGGCCGTGGGATCAGGTGCATAACACCTGGGGAACCAAGCTGTGAAAATAACTTCCCAGTCTACGGGATTGCTTGATACTTTGATACTGTCTTTGAGCAAAGGGAAACACAGCAACCCCACAGCCTTGGAAAATGGTTTCTGTCTATTAAATAAGTCCATCTCTCACTTTGTCAGGCAGACATTCTGTGCCGTTTCTGTATTAAAATAAGATTGTTATAAAAAAATAATTAAAAAAAACTCCTTCCTCTTCCTCAGCCTCAGACCCTCTGACTACTTTTTGCTAAAAGTCTGGTGCTATGCTGTTTTTTTCTGTGTGTAATTATTGGTATGTTTTAAACAGATTTTATATATGTATATAGTTCTAATTCTAATTGTGTATGTGTATAAGTTTTTTATTAAATCTCCAAAAAAATTCCAAAACATTTATTGTCATGTACAATTTCTCCCCAACATAAATTTCTTCTTAATTTCCCACCCCTCCTTTCCCAATTTTTGTTTTGGGTTGTTGTTTTTATTTTTGCTATGTATTTTGTGGTTTTATATCTTGATTTTATTCTGTGAACTGCCCTGAGACCCCTGGGTATAGGGCGGTATATAGATGCAATGAATAATAATAATAATAATAATAATAATAATAATAATAATAATAAATAAATAATACTTCTTATCAGCTGTTTTACAATACATATGTTTTTATTATCTAAACTTCACTATCATTAGATCTTTCAGTAATCCACTGCTTATATTTCAAATCCTGCCCATGACTTCATGTATGGGTGATAGATAGATGTTTAATTGTTTTTTAATGATTGCCTTCTCTCTGTTTTCTGCCATTCTTGTTTCTATCTGTAAGCTGCTTTGAGTCCCGTCAGGGGAAATGGCGGGGTATAAGTAAACATATAATATGTTGTTGTTGGCATACGTTTGTCTCAAGGGACGATGGAGGAGTGTGCCTTTGGGGGTAAAGTCAAACTGTTGGAGAGTTACAGTGTCTGCTGTGGCTGTAGATATCGATAGCGGAGAGACATGTTTTATTGCAGATGAAGGTGTCTGGTTTTGCTGTTACAGATGCACCATGGCATTTCTCCTCTCTGCGCTCCTTCCAGCAGACATAATAATAATAATAATAATAATAATAATAATAATAATTAATGCCTTACAAAATTAACTGCTATAATAAGAAATCAGTGAAATCAAAAATTTAAAAAGGAGTGGAAATGTTTTGATGAATATATGGCAAAATATTGCTCAAAAAAAAGATATGCTAATATGCCTAGATTAAAATGTGAAGTACTGGATGGAAGAAAAATTAGTAATGAAAGATAATAAGAATATATAGATTATTTGAGAAGATTGTAGAATGCAAAGATTATTGTAAATTGTATATTGTGGAGGAAATCGAGTGGGGGCGGAGGGAAGTGGGAGGAAGGAGAAAAGAATATGATGGATTGAGGAAATATAAATGTAAATGTATGGGGGGATGGGGAGGAAATGGTGTTGGCTTTGGCTTTGGCACATCTGTATTGTAATGTAATATGTGAAAACCAATAAATAAATATAATAATAATAATAATAATAATAAATAAAATAAAAATAAACTCTGAGGAAAAATAATAATAATAATTAGTAATAATAATAATAATAAATGCCATAGCATTAGAAGAATAATATTGCAGGGGTGGTGCTGGGAGCCTTAAAGGTGGGGGACACCCCCCCTCAGCCTGTTGCAAAGGCAACCTTTACATCTTCCTGCAAGGAACCACCTTAGCTGGACATCCCTCCTGCTGCCTTTGGGAGTTCTTTGGCTGCCCTGCTGAGAGACGGTGACATTTGGCTCATGCAATTCTGGTTGCAGACTCTGGAATGCCTTCAGTTGTTCCCTCGTTCTTTTCATAGCAAGGGCAAGGTCTTTATACCAAGAGCACCCTTTTATTAGGATGACGGTTGGCTTTTTCTTGTTCAACGCAGCCATGCCTTGTTTTATTTTGCTTTCAGGAGAGGCAGAATATTCATGAAAGGGAATCCAAATCTCTGGACTGTGCTCCCTGCCGCACCGTCAGATTTTGCACCTTTACAGAAAGGCTTCTTCTTGTTGTGTTTTCCAGCTGCTGGAAGGTACATGCTACAGAATTGTGCCATGGAATATTCTCTTTCTCGCTCTCCTTTCTGTAAAACTTCAAGAGCTTGTGGAATCCCAGATGATTAGTGAACTCTCCATGGGTGAAATTGCAAAATAAAACCCCCAATCCATATATGTTGACAAACTCATGCAATCTACTGTTGTTATGTTGCTTTAATTTTAAAAAAGATCAAAATTTGCCCAAGTTGGAAAACGAAATAAAACCAGAATAAGGGCTTACATCTTCAATTGCCATTTCTTTACCCATCGCTGAATTGAAGCAGACTTTCCGCTACGTGAACTGTATCAATATTACAAAATCAGGCCTGTGACTTTGCACAGCTTCTGTTAGAGCCAATTAATGAGTTGCACAAGAGGTTTTCACCTTGACTTGGCAATTTGCTCTGTCCAGTGAGCTCAAATGTTTGCATGATGCTCCCTGGCCTGAAATAAATACCACCACCCCCTTCTCCCACCTGCCCCTGCTAAGAGGAGGAAAGTAGAGGAGGCAGCCCAGCAGCTAACACAAGCAGGAGCTACAAATTATTATTTATTAGCTTACATACCACTTGTGGAGCTGGGTAAATATGTTTTGCCATTGCCGGATTTCACTTCTTTACGGACAATGAATTATCCATGGAATGATTAGAACTCCTCCTCCTAAAATAATGAATGAATGAATGAATGAATGAATGGAGCAGCCATTGATAAAGAGCCTCCATGTGGGGCTCTAGGTACCAGACATTCCATTTTACATGGAAATTGCAGTTAAAACCCTTCTTTCCCTTTGGGAGACTATTGAGCCTTTGCTCATCAGAAGCCGCTATTAATGTCAGTGTCTCGATGGGGAAACCAGTATTTCTTTCTTTGACTTTAGATATACGATTACTGTGACTTCTCATTGCTGTGGACTGAATTCAGCCCGAGTGGACAGTCCTTTGCTGGAGGCGAAGTCCTCGCTGCTCACAGGCTCATCATCTGGATGGAGGACGGCCGTGGCTTCATCTACCAGCTGCTGAACAGGTGGGCTCAGATGGGAAGCACACAAAGAAGTTTGAGGCACCAGCTGAACTTGGGGAGGCTCATGATGAAAAGCCTCCAGTCATAGCGATGGAAGCACAAGAAGCTATGCTCAGCCGCCAGCCTTTGTTGGGCCAGGCAGGGGGTGAGATTAGTCATGTCAGGAACCATGTCAGCTAGCCGTGTGTGTGTGTGTGCCTCAAAGAAGGAAGTGCCCCATAATTACTTTTAGCTGAACTTGGGAGTCTCAGACACCCCCTGCTTGTCATCTTGATGCATTTCCAAAGTTTTGACCTTCACTCCTCCCACCTTTCTCTTTTACTTATCCAGTGGTCTTTCGCGAAGCATCCAGCCATGCAATGGACGACCGCTCAAAGAAACCCTCCACCCTCAGTTACTTTGTTCTACTGATGTGGGAGATGAGAAGGTAATGCAGTTGGGCTCCAGAGCCACCTTGGAAGCAAGTAGCAGCAATCTGTGGCAAACCAAAGGCAATTCAGCTGGGGCACTGCCCACCAGCTTAGGGTATCTTCTTCATTAAGGACTTTGAGATTGCTTTTCGAATATCTTGCCTCCGCGCATGGAAGAAAAGAGCAACACTGAACATAGCCCACCTCAGCTTGTAAAGTGGCTCTCTTCTTCCTTTGTGGAAAGAAGAGCTACCCAAATGATTTCTGCATTAAAGACTGAAAGGTGACCAGAAGGCATAGGTGCCAACTCCCTGGGGCCCTGGGTGTGCAAGCACCCACAAAATTCCCCATCAAGGGGCTGGGCACCCACAAATTTCAGTGCCAGGGCCATGCACACTGCTTGGCACCCATGGCCCTGGGCATTCATGGTCATAGGGCCAAGCTGGCACTCCTGCCTGAAGGTGATTTCACAGGTGGCAGACTCAGACATCTCCCCTCCCCAAATAGGCAGCTGATATAAACGTAAAGAGACCCCTGACCACTAGGTCTAGTCTTGACCGACTCTGGGGTTGCGGCACTCATCTTGCTTTACTGGCCAAGGGAGCCGGCGTACAGCTTCCGGGTCATGTGGCCAGCAGGACTAAGCCGCTTCTGGCGAACCAGAGCAGCGCACAGAAACGCCGTTTACCTTCCCGCCGGAGCGGTACCTATTTATCTACTTGCACTTTGACGTGCTTTCGAACTGCTAGGTTGGCAGGAGCAGGGACCGAGCAATGGGAGCTCACCCTGTCGCGGGGATTCGAACCACTGACCTTCTGATCGGCAAGTCCTTGGCTCTGTGGTTTAACCCACAGTGCCACCCGCGTCCCTGGGAGCTGATATAGAGCTTTATTTTCCCCCTTGAGGTAACATCTAAACAAAGAAAAACTCCTCATCCTGAATCCTTTTACCCTCCCAGTGAATTCAGAGTGGGAGTGTGATGCTCTTTGACCACCTGAGCTGTGTAGTTATGGGGCATTCTCTGGTAGGTGGGTTGCTTCAAGAACCCTTGGCCTCCATCCCATGCGATGTTCTCAGATTCCATGACGACATTGGTGAAGTCAATGTGGGATCAGAGAGTTGACGCTGGGCCTTGCTGCAAGTTCTAATTCTCGGGCTTTCAACTCTGCTAGGCGGTCCATTATGGATGAAAGACGCTGATCTGTGACCGTATTAATAAATTCATTCATTCATTCATTCATTCATTCATTATGGATGAAAAGTTTCTCCATACTGGAAGACCATTTGCAAACAAGTACTGGTCTTCCTTCTAGGCTTGTGGGTGGGAAGAGTAATCTTCCAAGAGAGGCTGTAGATCCTTTCTGATGCACTGGAGAGAACTTTAGCAAGGGGGCTCTAGCATACCCTCCAACGTTTGACAGAGTAAAATAGGGAAATGCACAGGATGGCTTCTGCATTTCCAGGAATGCCATGGTTAAATCGTGGCAATTGGAAGCTATACTTCCTCTTTTGAGTCTGTCCTGGCAACTTGCTGGTCTCACTGAGGGCTACTGTAATTTTAAGAATGCTGGAGGTAGATTCTCCAGGTGATTGTCCCAAACATACTGCCCTCCACCTTAACTGCTCATGAGCAACAATGGGCCATCCCATACAGATATAGACCTACAACCCCCCCCCTTGCAACAAACCCCAGAGCCGACTCCATCCCTGCCAAGAGCTTGTTCTTTTGCACATTTTCTAGCATGATATGTGCCATCATATGTGCAAGCAGGGACCTCCTGCTATTTCCATTGGCCATACCATTTCCATTAGTATTTACATTGGTCTATTATTCAGTGTGCATTATGCAAGAGAATAAATGGAGGCAAACGAGACATTAAAAATGGTGATACTCGGAAACCATTTAAATCTCCCTGGACATTCACTCAGAGACATCGGAGCTGGCTGGGCTGAAGCAGAAAGTGTCAAGCGGAGGGTCGTGAGGTACATTTCAGATGCAGGTTTGAGCTCACGTAAGACTGGCAATGGCTGCCTCACAGTCACTATATCTGGGAGTGGTCCTGCAGCAGGTATTTAGCAAATGGTGTTCATCTTGCTTTGGCAGCTTATTATCCACTGGGAACAGCCAGTCCTCTTGTACGAACCCCAGTTCACAGTGGTAGACCGCCGACTTTGCTTGTGAGAAGTCCCAGATTCAATTCTTGGCAGCCCCAGGGAGTGTTGGAGAAGACTACTGTCCAGAACCCTGGAGGGCAGTGATACATGATGATGATGATGATGTTAGGTGGGCCAGTCACTGAGTTAGCTGGGCAGCTTTCCTGTGCCCCTGTGACTGGAACTTCCACCTTTTCCACTAGACCTTATTGGCCTTTTACCAGGCATTGCAATGGGGCATGCCTCCCTCTTGAGTTGCAAGGTCTCTCAGCTTCACTTTGTAAGGACACACCCCATGCCATCTTCTGTGTGTGCATATCAAAGCCCTGTTCATTTGATAGGAATAAGGCCCAAACAGAATGGCAAGACAAACTGTTACAGTATATTGAACTGGCTAGATTAACAGAGGCAATTAGAGATCACACTAGACAAGAGTTTCAAAAAGCATGGGGAAAATGCAGAGAATACTTCCCAAAACAGTGCCCTAAAATGCATACCTGGACTTGTTTCAATTAATGTCTGCAGGAGACTTTGTGGATATTTAAGTTATAATTAGAAAAATCTTAATAATTATTCATAAAGGAAACAGCTTATAAGAAGTAAATAAGGAGGCCAGATACAGAACAAAGGAAATCTTTTATTTGGTTGTTTGTACTGTTGTATGTTATGCTTATTGTATTTCTGTATTGGGGGTGGGGGTTTATGTCATGTTGTAAATAAAATTTTCAATAAAATTTTATTTTATTTTAAAAGGAATAAGGCCCTTACTGATGTGATCCTTTAGCCATGCTCCCGGGACATCTTCACAGATGCTGTGGGCATGACCAGTGGAGCATGCTCAGAGAAGGGAGAGGACTAGTGGGCAAAATCCTGCTCCACATCTTAATAGGGCCATGGATAGATATAATCTGGATAATTCTTCATGCATCTGATAAAGTGGCCCACAAAAGCTAAAGCAACATTAAAGCTGTTAGTCTTTACGGTGCCATACAACTCTTTGTTGCTTTTGCTGCAACTGACTAATCCAGTTTAAACGTGTGGTTTGTTTGTTTGTTTTTAATGAACAGAGTTTTTCTTACATTATGGGCTTCATCAATGAAAGAAAGGAACCTTTTTATAAGATCCTTTACTGTGGAGCAGCATCAGGCAGAATCACTCTGTGGCATATTCCAGATGTGCCAGTTTCAACTCTGGACGGTTCTCCAAAAGGTAGGCTCAACTTTTGAATCATTCAGGAGGGCGGGGGGGGGTTAAAAGGATTGTGAAATGGGAAAGGTCAGGGTCCCCAGAAGGGGGAGGAGGAGGAGGAGGAGAAGGAGAAGGAGAAGGAGAAGGAATGCCACCTTGCCCTGATTTGATTGAAGGCAGGATTATGACTCAAACAAAGGAAAACCTTTGCGAATTTTCAGACTCTGAGATCCCACTGCACTCAAACAACAAATGGCCTCTTGTCAACCGATATAATATTTTATGCTTCATTTGCCTGCTTTACTAAGGAGTTACTCAAACTGGACACAGAAGACTGTTACATAATACAGAGGGTGGCTATTACTGAAAATGAGTTGTTCACATATCACCAACATGTCATTGAAAATAGTGTTGCTGTTTTTTAAGACCTTGCTTGATTTTTCCTAGAAAGGGAAATTTAAATACAGGAAAAATACAGATTGGCATACTGATCCCAGCAATGTCCTATGGGTTCTATGAAAATTATAGAGCTGGAAGGGACACCCCCCCCGGTCATCTAGTCCAACTTTCTGCAATGCAGGAATCCTGCCCACATGTGCTCCCACCCCACCCACAATCTGGAAGCAGCACTTAGAAAGAAAAACCTGCTGGGTTTTCCCGGAGGCAAAGAGGCATAATGCTTGCTTTGAAAACAGGATCAGAAAGACCCCCATCCTAATTTCTATTGCCGTGGCCTACAGGTGGCAAGACAAATATCAGCAAAGTCTTTGAATTTTGCCTCCGTCTTCTCAAGCAGTTGGGCTCTGTGGACGACCCCCTGTTTCTTTTTCTCCCTAGAGATCCCTATAGCAACATCCTGGACTCTTCAGAACAGCTTTGACAGCTGCAGTCCTGTGGCCGAAGGCATCATCGACCACCTCTGTGGAGCTGAGAATGGGATGGGGAGTGACGCCATCACTTCCTCCATTTATATCCCCAGCCTTGATAAACTGGTGTGCGGGTTTGCGGATGGCAGGATCTTCATCATGCTGGCTCTGCAGGCTGCCAAGGCAAGGCTGATGGGAAAGGGCTCCTTGCTGAAAGGTGAGTGGGAATCCTGCAGACACTCAGGTTGCCTGAGTTTCTGGCTGGCATGGGTTGCTCATTTTATTAACTAAAACGCTACACTGCTTACTATATATCTGTCTAAGTGCTTTGCATAGGTTTGTGTCCAATGAAGCTCTACTCAGAGTAGACCCATTGAAATTAATGGGCCTGTCAGTTACGTACATCTGTTATTATTATTATTTATTAAATTTACATACTGCCCGTCGTCAAGAGACCACAGTACGGTTTACAACGTAGAATTTCAGTATGTCAAATGTTGGAGACCACCCATTAAAATGACAACAGCATTCCATAAACATTCCTAACAACTAGATAAAAATGAAAGAAAACCCAAATGCACCTGTATTTCACAAATAAAGCTGAGCAGTGTACAAAAGAATTAAAAATAGAGTCGCAGTCCAGGAAGGCTTGGGTGAACAGACCACAGTGCCACCTGTGTCCCTTTGGAAAGTTGGTTGGTACTAATAAATGTCTTACTGCCCAGCTGTGGATTTTGTAGGACTTTTAATAACAGCCAGGAAAAAAACGAGCAGAGTTAGACAGTTGTTCCAGCTCTAAAACTGAAGTACAGAGGCAACCGATTGTATGCAGAAATGCAATTGTAATGCCTCAAACCAAGGGGATCTGTTTGTTTTCAGGTGGATTTATGTGCAATCTTGTTTAGGATCACAGATAGAAAAATATCTACTTTACCAGCATTTGTTGCCTGGTTTAGTCTGCACAAGGGACGCGGGTGGTGCTGTGGTCTAAACCACAGAGCCTAGGGCTTGCTGATCAGAAGGTTGGCAGTTCAAATCCCTGTGACAGGGTGAGCTCCCATTGCTCTGTCCCAGCTCCTGCCAACCTAGCAGTTCGAACGCACGTCAAAGTGCAAGTAGATAAATAGGTACCACTCCGGCAGGAAGGTAAACAACATTTCCATGCGCTGCTCTGGTTCGCCAGAAGCGGCTTAGTCATGCTTAGTCATTACCAAACCTGAGAGGAGACGTGTAGTGGTGATAGGGGATTCCCTACTGAGGGGAACAGAAGCAGTGATCTGTGGGCCTGACAAGATGTCTCGGGAAGTGTGCTGTTTCCCCGGGGCTAAGATCCAAGATGTAACTGAACGACTGCAAGGAATCATAAAACCCACTGACAAATACCCCTTCCTCTTGGTTCATGTGGGAACCAATGACACTGCAAGCAATAGCCTCCAGAAGATCAAAAGAGACTACGAGGCTCTGGGCAGGAAATTGAAGCAATTAAATGCACAAATTGTCATCTCATCTGTCCTCCCAGTTGAATGACGTGGCCCAGGGAGAGAGGGAAAAATAGTGGCAGTGAACAGCTGGCTTCGCAAATGGTGTAAACAGGAACGGTTTGGATTCTTAGATCACGGACTGCTTTTTCTTGAAGATGGACTTCTGGCAAGCGATGGGCTGCATCTCACAACGGTTGGGAGAAATGTTTTTGCCAAAAATCTCAGAAACCTCATCAGGAGGGCTTTAAACTGACTAATGTGGGGGAGGGAGACAGTGCTCCTGAAGGTAGGAGTCTATCAATTGATGAAGTTGATCATCCAAATGTCATAGACCAAATGGAGCAAACAGCACGCAGACCTAGTGGTGGGAGGAAAAAATTCTTAAATAAGAGACACGGGGGAATGATTAATGGACTTCAATGTCTGTACACTAATGCGCAAAGCATTGGAAATAAACAAGATGAGCTTGAGCTCTTGGTACAGCAAACTAAATATGACATAATAGGCATCACTGAAACCTAGTGGGATAAGTCCCATGATTGGAATGTAATAATGGGGGATACAATCTATTTCAGAGAAACAGACCAGACAAGAAAGGAGGAGGAGTGGCGTTATATGTCAGGGATGTGTATACCTGTGAAGAGATCCAAGATTTAGAACCTCAAAGCCAAAGTGAGAGCATTTGGGTCAAAATTAAGGGAGAGAAGAATAACAGTGACCTCATTGTGGGAGTTTACTATAGATCCCCAAGCTAAACGGAGGACATAGATGATGCCTTCCTGGAACAGATGGCCAAGCATGCAAAAGGAAGGGAGAGAGTAGTAATGGGGGACTTCAATTACCCGGATATTTGTTGGATGTCAAACTCAGCCAAGAGCATAAGGTCAAACAGATTCCTCACTGGCCTTGCAGACAACTTCATTGTCCAGAAAGTGGGAGAAGCAACAAGAGGAACAGCCATTTTAGATCTGGTCCTAACCAATGTTGATGACCTGGTTAGTGGGGTAGAAGTGGAAGGATCATTAGGCGCGAGTGATCATGCTCTTCTGAAGTTTACTATACAGCGGAAAGGAGCAGCCAAGCATACTAGGACTCAATTTCTTGACTTTAAGAAAGCCGACTTCATAAAACTTAGGGAAGTGCTGGGTGAGATCCCATGGACAGTAATACTAAAAGGAAAGGGAGTTCATGATGGCTGGGAGTTTGTTAAGAGGGAGATAGTAAAAGCACAACGTCAGGCAATACCAATGAGACGGAAACATGGAAGGTGCCTAAAGAAGCCAGGGTGGCTATCTAAAGAACTTTTAACTGAGTTAAGATTAAAAAGGATGTGTACAAAAATGGAAAAGGGGGAAACCACCAAAGAGGAATTCAAACAAATAGCCAGCACGTGTAGACACAAAGTCAGAAAAGCTAAAGCACAGAATGAACTCAGGCTTGCTAGAGAGGTTAAAAGCAACAAAAACGGCTTTTATGGGTATGTTCGTAGCAAAAGGAAGAACAAAGAAACAGTGGGGTCACTCAGAGGAGAAGATGGTGAAATGCAAACAGGGGACACAGAAAGGGCTGAACTCCTCAATGCCTTCTTTGCCTCAGTCTTCTCCGATAAAGAAAACAATGCCCGACCTGAAGAATTTGAAGCAAATGATTCAGCAAAGGAAACACAGCCCAGAATAACTAAGGAGATAGTACAAGAATACTTGGCTAGTTTAGATGTATTCAAGTCTCCAGGGCCAGATGAACTGCATCCAAGAGTATTAAAAGAACTGGCAGATGTGATCTCAGAACCACTGGCAGTCATCTTTGAGAATTCCTGGAGAACAGGCGAAGTCCCGGCAGACTGGAGGAGGGCAAATGTTGTCCCTATTTTCAAAAAGGGGAAAAGAGAGGACCCAAATAATTGCCGCCCAGTCAGTCTGACATCAATACCAGGGAAGATTCTGGAGCAGATCATTAAGCAAACAGTCTGTGAGCACCTAGAAAGGAATGCTGTGATCACCAATAGTCAGCATGGATTTCTGAAAAATAAGTCATGTCAGACTAACCTGATCTCGTTTTTGACAGAATTACAAGCCTGGTAGATGAAGGGAACGCAGTGGATGTAGCCTACCTTGATTTCAGCAAGGCATTTGACAAGGTGCCCCATGATATTCTTGTAAAGAAGCTGGTAAAATGCGGTCTTGACTATGCTACCACTCAGTGGATTTGTAACTGGCTGACTGACCGAACCCAAAGGGTGCTCATCAATGGTTCCTCTTCATCCTGGAGAAGAGTGTCTAGTGGGGTGCCACAGGGTTCTGTCGGGCCCGGTCTTATTCAACATCTTTATCAATGACTTGGATGATGGACTCAAGGGCATCCTGATCAAATTTGCAGATGACACCAAACTGGGAGGGGTGGCTAACACCCCAGAGGACAGGATCACACTTCAAAATGACCTTGACAGATTAGAGAACTGGGCAAAAACAAGATGAATTTTAACAGGGAGAAATGTAAAGTATTGCACTTGGGCAAAAAAAATGAGAGGCACAAATACAAGATGGGTGACACCTGGCTTGAGAGCAGTACATGTGAAAAGGATCTAGGAGTCTTGGTTGACCACAAACTTGACATGAGCCAACAGTGTGATGCGGCAACTAAAAAAGCCAATGCAATTCTGGGCTGCATCAACAGGAGTATAGCATCTAGATCAAGGGAAGTAATAGTGCCACTGTATTCTGCTCTGGTCAGACCTCACCTGGAGTACTGTGTCCAGTTCTGGGCACCACAGTTCAAGAAGGACACTGACAAACTGGAACGTGTCCGGAGGAGGGCAACCAAAATGGTCAAAGGCCTGGAAACGATGCCTTATGAGGAACGGCTAAGGGAGCTGGGCATGTTTAGCCTGGAGAAGAGAAGGTTAAGGGGTGATATGATAGTGTCAGGGAACTGCCATCGGAAGGAAGGGAGGTGAAAGGACTCAGACAGGTTGGAAGAGACTCAGCAGCTGAAGAGGGAACCAGCAAGGGGAGAGAAGCTGAACTGAGGGAGGTGAAAGGGCTCAGACAGGTTGGAAGAGACTCAGCAGCTGAAGAGGAAACCAGCAGGGGAGAGAAGCTGAACTGAGGGAAAGGGAGCTGGGGGATGGCTCAGAGATACTTCCAGCGAAAACAGTGGTGAGGTTTCCGGACCTCCTGTAGGGACACCCACTCCTCGCCGGAAACTGTCACGCAGAGAGTCCAGAAGACGTGTTTCCGTTAAGGAGCTTTTATGTTGGAAGCGATTACGAAAGCAACCACTGTCGGAATCTTCTAGTGACTAGAGGAGCCATGTCAGAGGGGCTCAGTCACAGACAGAGGTTTGTGGACTTGAACAAACTCTGAGGGAATACGATTTTACGCACAAGCAGCTCATCTTCCCATCACAGATAGCCATGTTCAAATATATAAAAGGATGTCACATAGAGGAGGGAGAAAGGTTGTTTTCTGCTGCTCCAGAGAAGCGGACACGGAGCAATGGATCCAAACTACAAGAAAGAAGATTCCACCTAAACATTAGGAAGAACTTCCTGACAGTAAGAGCTGTTCAACAGTGGAATTTGCTGCCAAGGAGTGTGGTGGAGTCTCCTTCTTTGGAGGTCTTTAAGCAGAGGCTTGACAACCATATGTCAGGAGTGCTCTGATGGTGTTTCCTGCTTGGCAGGGGGTTGGACTCGATGGCCCTTGTGGTCTCTTCCAACTCTATGATTCTATGATTCTATGCTGGCCACATGACCTGGAAGCTGTACACTGGCTCCCTCGGCCAATAAAGCGAGATGAGCGCCGCAACCCCAGAGTCGGCCACGACTGGACCTAATGGTCAGGCGTCCCTTTACCTTTAGCCCTATGATTCCCTATAATTCTTCTGCTGCTCATGGCACATTATTAACACTTCTCCTGTGCAAAGGTGGCCACAGTTTCTGGCCAGATGACTTTCACTCTTTTCTGTCAGGAGAGAATTAGCCCCTGCTAGACTCTGCTTTCGTTGTTGACTTCTCTCTCTCTCTCCTCATTTTTTCAGACACTCTCCCTCACAGAATACTCAGCCACCACAGCACCAGCGTGACCTCCTTACTTTACCTCCATGGCCGATCAGCCCGGTTTGATCCCAGCTGGCTGATGTCTGGGAGCCAGGACTCCAGTGTGGTCTGGTGGGACATTTTTACCGGGGAATTATTGCATTGCTTTTCGCTGCAAGCTGGTCCCGTCACGAATCTGCTGTTGTCTTCAGAGAACTACAGGGTAGGTAAAGAGGATAAGGGAGATGGGTCTTCCCGGGAGGAGGGAAGAGTCAGGGCTTAGTCTACCCTCCTGCCTGAGTTCTTGGGCTAGACTTAGAGGACAACAGCAACAGGCAGGGTCAGATTTTATTTCCCCCTGGGGAGAAGGAAATCCAGCACTCAGCAGCATGACAAGTGATGAAAAGCCCCATTCTTTGCACCCACCAGAAAGTAAACAAAATAAATTCAATTAATAATAATAATAATAATAAATCAATAATAGCATGCATTGTCCACACATGACACAACTGCTTGCTCAACTCACTGACCTAGGATTTAATTGCATCTGGCTTTTAACATATGCCATGAAGAATGAGCTTGCAATTAGTTTTTGTTTTTTTGCTGTTCTTAATTTTATTACGTATTTTGTACTTTTTCTACTGTAAAATTAAAAACATTTTTATCTGTCTCTTCCTTGCATGTAGATGACCAGGGATGCAAACTCTGCCAATTAAAAGTGCCTCTGTTTACTAAAAATCTGTCAGTGGCACCCCTCAGTTACCCCAGAGAAGCAGCCCATACTATTTAATGCAATATTCTCTGCTCCTCAGCAAAAAAAACCCAACCCCCCCAAAACAACCCAAGACATTCCCTACCCACTGCAGATAATCCAAAACACAGGGCATGGGGGTCCTGCCAGGCCAGCCAGCCAGGACCCCAAGGGGTTGGAGGTGGTGAAGACAGTGAAGTGGGAGAGGAAAGAGGGTGCCTACCCAGATGTTACCCAGATGTTCACCTCACCAGAGCAGCCCCAGTTGGTCTCTACAGCTGCTTCTGCCTCTTTGTTCTGAGCCCTTGGCACAAGGAGGTCTATAATCAAAATAAGGGATGAAGGGCAGGATTTCATGTGGAATTTATCAAATGAAGCCTTTGCATCTTCCTATGATTCATTCAGCCTTGCCACAGTGCCCTCATCTGGCCAGATTTAGACTTCACAAGGCTTTAAATTAGATTTCACAGACCCAACCAACAAAGGAGTTCTTAGGGAAGAGAGAGGTGTCTGTCATCTTCTTGCCATTGATGGTTTCTTTTCTACTGAGAGAAGGAGTCAAGCAGTTCAGATGTGGGGTCAGTTGCTAAGGGTGTTCAGTGGCACTGTCTCTTCCCTCGATATTTCAAGAAGTGGAGGGGCAGGCAGTTGCCCACTGGGGGTGCTTTGTATGGAGCTGATCCCGTCTTAAGGCAAGGAATGAGCTTCATAATTGCATTTCCAGTGCCTCTAGAAGACTAAAACCCTGTGCTCAGCATCCATTAGGTAAAGCTGTTAAGGGTGTGAAATTGGACTCATTTTGCACAAATGTGCTTTGTTTACAGGTGTGTAATTGGAATCCCAGTGTAACAGCTTTATTATTTCCCCTCCTGTCCTATTCCAAGGGCAACAGGCTGTATGTATACATTTCCATGTAGCAATTTTGAGGGGGGGACAGGATGAGCAGAAATCTGACTGGATCCCAGGAGACAGAAGCAGGCAACTTGGCTGGATGCAGGAGCTCAGCTCCTCCTCAGACCTGCTCAGGCTGCCTCTGCTACTTGTAAATAATAATGATAATAATAATAATAATAATAATAATAATAATAATAATTTATTATTTGTACCCCACCCATCTGGCTGGGTTTCCCCAGCCACTCTGGGCAGCTTCCAACAAAGATTAAAAATACATTAAAATGTCACACATTAAAAACTTCCCTGAACAGGGCTGCCTTCAGATGTCTTCTAAATGTCAGGTACAGTGGTAACTTGGGTTAAGTACTTAATTCATTTCGGAGGTCTGTTCTTAAACTGAAACTGTTCTTAACCTGAAGCACCACTTTAGCTAATGGGGCCTCCTGCTGCCGCTGCGCCACTGGAGCACGATTTCTGTTCTCATCCTGAAGCAAAGTTCTTACCCCGAGGTACTATTTCTGGGTTAGCGGAGTCTGTAACCTGAAGCGTATGTAACCTGAAGCGTATGTAACCCGAGGTACCACTGTAGTTGTTTCTGTCTTTGACATCTGGTGGGAGGGCGTTTCACAGGGCGGGTGCCACAACCGAGAAGGCCCTCTGCCTGGTTCCCTGTAGCTTTGCTTCTCGCGGGGAGGGAACCGCCAGAAGGCCCTCAGAGCTGGACCTCAGTGTCCAGGCAGAACGATGGGGGTGGAGATGCTCCTTCAGGTATATTGGGCCGAGGTCGTTTAGGGCTTTAAAGGTCAACACCAACACTTTGAATGCTTTAAATGCATTTCTGTTCCACCTGGAGTGTCATGGATAGCACAGTCCATTCAGAAACTCTAGCTTTTGCCTTATTCACAGTGGTTTCCTATAAAGAAGAGAAGTCAGCTCCATTTATATGTTTCACACAGCCACACACACTCCCCTTAGCACACTTTGCTGTTGGTGCAGGCTTCTGCATGACTCACCTTGGCATTATCCTTCTTTGCAGTTCAGAGGGCACCGGATCGTGTGCTGCTTGTGTAGCGATGACCATGCTGTGGTGCTTTTGCACATACAAGAGCGAGCCTGCCTCATGCGCGCCAGGAAACACCTTTCCCCTGTGAAGAGGCTACGGTGGCACCCTGTGGAAAATCTCTTGGTGGTTGGATGCGAAGATGATTCCGTTTACGTCTGGGATATTGAGACCGGTAAGGCCTCTCTCTTTCTCCGCCATCTTTTGTTTGCAAAACACAAGGGACCCCACCAGCCTGGAGAAGCAGCTAGCAGAGGCAAACTCTGTTTGAAATGCCAGAGTTAGAGAAAAGGCCAATCATAACTGTCAGCAATTTAACTTGGACTCTGAATAGTGAATGTTTAGCTAGACTTCAGAGGACTTGCTGTGCTGGCCAGTTGCCTGAGGTAGAGTGAGAGGCACAAGCCCTCTCCATTTCTGGTGACACTGAGTTAGTCGACACTGATAAAGGGTGTCTCCAGGCTGCCCACAAGCGGCCCATGGGGGTTGTCTAACCGGCCCACGAGCTGCCCCCCAACCAAGCTGCCTGCTTGGCGAGTCCCCCCGCACTGCACTAAACTGGCACAGCACAGCACAGGGACTTGATTCCGCAGCGCCGGAAATCGCATCTGTGGAGACGCAGATGCCGGAAATTGCGGGCAGGCGGGCGCGATTTGGCCCACGGAAGGATCTTCACTGGAGCAAACTGGCCCAGGTGAGGTAAACCTTGCTGCCCCCTGATTTAAATTAAAGCACTCTTGATACCCTGCCATAACACATCCACTTTAAAAACACAACAAAACACAACACAGACTTTTGGGTGTTCGGAAAGCAATGGGGAAATGCATTGAAAAGTGTGTCTGAATGAATTAATATTGGGAAGACGTGTAAACACCCCATAAGCAACTCTGCAGGATGAAGACTCATTGCTGTATAGGCATTCCTTAGACAAATGCTTAGAAAAGGCTGAGCATTGGGGTCCCTCTAGCGTTTTTCCTCTCCTTTGGGTGCATTCTGCAGCGTTGTGACACTGATACAACAATAGTGCTTCAGTGATAGATTTATACTGGGTCATCCACACGTCATTCTGAGTTGCTCTGCAATGCTTCCCCAATGCCACCATGCTCTTGCCACCTAGAAGGGCATAAAAAAACCCTTTAGGATAAATTTGAACTAGTTCATTTTGTAAAAAGAGGAACTAGTTCCTTTTTGGAAAGGATGAACTTGAACTAGAACCAGTTCCTTTTTAAAACATACTTTTCAAGTGTTGTGTGCAGACAGTCTGCTCTGCTGCAAGAATCCATGGATCAGGGCTCCTGGCTGTATTCTGCATGGGAAAGAAGACTGGTTGAGAAAATCATATCCTACATAAATCAGCATATAAAATTTGAGTCCGTTTATAGTCTGGAGGATTGCTATTGAAACAATTTACTTACTGTTTTGGACATGCTTGCATATCTACTACATAAAATATAGGCTTATAACAATGTGCTTTTTAAAATAAATAAATAAATAAATAAATCCATGTATGTTCCGAGATGGTTGTGACATTTCCTGCCAATTTGCAAACATCCAGCGACAGACCCATTTGAGCTACAGTTCTCCTGGTTCCAAGTAAATGACAGGTCTTTATGACAAGCCTAGCACTGGGTGAAAGAGTCAGACCTCCGCCATATCACACTCAGGCTGTGTTTCTAAATGAGAAATATTGGGGTGTCCAGAGGGGGCCACATGTTTGGGGCTTATCATGCCCACCCCCATCTGCAAGACACTCTGGGACCCTAAGCAGAGGCATGCAGGAGCTGCTTGTTCGTAGTCAGCAGTTCAAACTGCCCACCTTCTGATCAGCAAGCCCAAGCTCCTGCCAGCCTACCAGTCTGAAAGCATACCAGTGCGAGTAGATAAATAGGCACTGCTGCAACAGGAAGCTAAATTGCATTTCTGTGTGCTCTGGCACTTGTCACAGTGTCCTGTTGCACCAGAAGCGGTTTAGTCATGCTGGTCACGTGACCCAGAAAGCTTGTTGTTGTTGTTTAGTCGTTTAGTCGTGTCCGACTCTTCGTGACCCCATGGACCAGAGCATGCCAGGCTATCTGTGGACAAACGCTGACTCCCTTGGCCTGAATGTGGAGATGAGTGCCACATCCCCTAGTCAAGTTTGACTGGACTTAACCATCCAGGGGTCCTTTACCTTTACTTTACCTAGTCAGCAGCGAAGGAAATTAACTCTGTACATGCTCAGATTTCTGCTATTATTTCTCATGCTCTGGACCCAAGAAAGGGTCAGAGCGTGCCCCCAAAGAAAATTGCAACATGCTTTCTAGGAACCAAGTGGATTGCCTTTAGAAACTGGGCACATGCCTCCATCTCTCCTCCTCTCCCCCGCCCTCTCCCTCAAGTTAACAAACTTTGCCTTGAGGGAAAGCTGACATTCCTTTAAAGAGGCATATAATCCAATTATGGAACCATTAGGTGTTTTCAGGGAGCTCTGTAAGCTTATGGCACCTTCCTGCACTCTGCTTTGGTTGGAATGAGCATGAAGGAAATATCTGTGCTGCGATGCTTGACTACGAGTCTGTCTGCATTCTGGACATTTGGGTTTGCTGGATTTTTAAATGACTTCTTTGCACTTTTTGCCCTTATTTGATCATTTGTATTATCAGTATGCATGTACACACACACACACACACACACACACACACACACACACGATACATATATCAAAACAGAGGGCTCAAGGATAGTTCTGCTTGTCCCATGCCTAGAAAGCACAGGTCTTTTTGCTTGTCTTGCCACTTTCCCAGGGGAAAACCCACTCTTTAGTGCTAAATCAGAGCAAACATTCCCTGCACACTCACTGCCCTGTTGGAAATGGAAGCCCATGTTTAAGAAGACCAGAAGCTGGCATCCGTTTGTCTCAGGAGACAATGGAAGAGAACACCGTTTGGGGGGGTGAAGTCAAACTGTTGGAAGTTTACAGTTTCTGCTGTGGTGGTAGAGACTCATATGAGAGAGACATGTTTTGTTGCAGCTGAGGCAGATAGAGGCGTCTGGTTGTGCTGCTGTAGATACGCCACAGCGTTTCTTCTCTCTGTGCTCCTTCCTCTGGTCACTGCTATGGATATATGACCAGCAGGGCCGTCTTAAGCATATCCGGTGCCGTGGTGCAAAGCTCCCTCCGGTCCCCCTCCCCCGGTTTCTCAGAGGTTTCTTAGGGAGGATGGCACTGCCGGCGGGGCTGAAGGAGGCAGACAGTGGCTGGAGGGCGGCTCCTCCGGCAGGGAAGAGGCGGAGGCTGGATGCGGCACCTCCCAGCTCAGCTGGCCGCTTCATGCTGTGGTGGCCACAGCAGACAGGCTCCAGCTTGGCTTCGGCGCAGCATGGCGGAGGCAGGTGAGGGCAGCGAGCCACGTCCAACCTCCGCCTCTTCCCTGGCACCCTCCAGAACTTGGTGCCCTGGTGCCCTGCACCACTAGCCTCTATGGGTAAGATGCTCCTGATGACCAGATTGACAGTCTCCAGATCAGCAGAAAACTCAGCCATTTTTTCTCTCTGTTTTTTTATTTTATTTTTATTTTTATTAAGAACAAATTAGAAAACATACATATTTACAACAAAAGAAAATACATATAACCAAGGAGAAAAATTAGAGAATACTTTGTCTCTTTTCATATTTACAGTTATTTATACCTCTATAAAATGCTATTCACAATAAAGGAGTGAAATGAAAGATAAGATATCAGAAAAAAGAAAAAAAGAACAAAGAAAAAATAAAGAAGTAAAAGAAAAGGATCATAGGTGAAAATTTTGGTGTTTTGGTTTTAACTGAAGGCCTTTTGTCTTACTGGTTTATTTTTCTATATCAAAACTTCCTTAAATTAATAGATAAGTCCTTGGTGTCTTCTGAGGAAGTTCACTGCTGTGCTAGGATTTTCATGCAACAATATTTTTGAAAAGAAAAAAAAATCCCAGCTCAGAATGGCTGTAAGAAAGTCTAGCAGAATAGAGGGACCTTCCACATTTTCATTTGTTCCATGATTTCAAGTGATAGGTCTGAGTGTTTTGTTTGTTTTGTCCCGCTGCTTTCCCTGGGAAAACCCACTGTTTGTTGCTGAATCGGAACAACCACCAATCGGGTTTTCTGTGGGTTGACATTTGTTCCGATTCAGCAGTGAATTTCAGGTTTTCCTGGGAAATGTCACAGGACACACACAAAAAATACGGTACCCTCTCAGATCTGTGACTTGAAATCAGGGACAAATGAAAATGTGGATGGTCCCAAAGGGAGGAGGAGGAGGAGGAGGAGGAGGAGGAGGACCTCTCTCAATGAAAAGAGGGATAGGATATTACAGAAAGGGAGGGAGGAAAATTGAGGCCTTCAGTGGCTTTGGTCTTCCAGTGAAAACAATTCAAGGGGTCAGCCGGAGAGTCTTGATCTCATGAAGTCAGAGGCCTGGTCCCTCCTATCTGTGCAAATGTACCGGTAAGTAGGATGGAGCATAAATGAGCAATGGGAAAGATGCACTTGTGAAGAAAAGAAACAGCAAAAAAAGGACCATCTGCCTCTTGTCATTTGATACCTGGAACACTAGGGGACAGCATTCAAATGCTGAATGGATGCTGACTATTGATTGGAGTCTTCAGGCTAACCTGTAAGTTATGAAGTGTTTCTGCTGAGAGACTGAAGGCGATTTGGGCAGGCAGCTTCCAGGGTAAAAAACAAATGGAAGAATGAAACAAGCCTGATGATGTCCCTCCCTTACACTCTGGTTGCCCTGAGCAGCATTTCAGATGCTGGAGAGCCCCTGGAAGCACATGGAAAACATGGAACCAGGTGCACCAAATGTGAATGGTTCCAACTGCTTTTCATTTTGCATTTCCAAAGAGTTGCAACCCACCCAGGGACCTTATGAAGGGTGGGTAAGAAATCCTGTTGTTGTTGCTCGTTACAATATGATTTGATATAAGGTAGAATCCTATGCTGCTTCTACATTAGAATTAAATTAATCAGCTGCTCACCGGAAAGGGAATAGAATGTGATGATTATATCCATTGATTTCTTACCATTTAAGTGTGCGTCTATAACTATCCCCTATTACAGTTATTAATTATTCCATTCACAGCAGCTGTGTATGGGGACCAACCATGTGGGTGACTTAAATGGTGATTCCTGGCATAAACTGGAGGCAGGAATGGCAATTGTGAGGGGTGGTTCTTCTTAACTTTGTGACTGTAGTTATGCTATAGGCCTTGTATGTTTATATACCTGGCATGGGTTCAGCTTTTGGCAGAGAATCCCTTTGGGAAGTTCTTTAAGCCCCTTACAGAGCTGACAAAATCCTATACCAACTTCCTTCAGAATATTGCGCTCAGTGGGACTTCCCATCTGAGCAGGCAGGTGCAGTATGATTCTGTAGCTGGCTTTTTGCTTGGTACCATTAAACAGCCATCCATGGAGCAGTCTTAATGCTCACCTTGGTGAATGAACTTGTCCAGCTGCAACTTACCTTCTTGGCCCTGATTCTGCCCCGGAGCTCCTGCTCTGCTTAGGTGAAGTCATGCTCCGCTGCCTGTAAATTTCTCAAACCACTATTTCTCCTCTGCCCAGGAAGTCTCGAGCGCCACGAAACTGGGGAAGTTGCTCAGGCAATCCTTGCTTGCTGTGAGGACTCAGTCATGGCAGCGGCAGATTCTCTGTCGGCCGTCTTTGAAGAAGACACACCTAAGCAGGAAAACCTGGATGGCCAATCTTCCAACTCCTGTAAAATCGGTACTCTTTCCTACAGCAGCCTCGCTCATCGAGAAAAGTCTTCCCACCATCAGGTGAGTGCACAGAAAGGGGAGACTTCGGATCAAAGAACTGAAGAATTGTAGAGTTGGAAAGGACCTAAAAGGTCCCCTGGTCCAAACCCCTGCCACGGATCTTGAACAGCACTCAGCAAACCTACCTTGATGCCACATGACCCAAAGTTGCTTTCCCATCCCCTTCTCTGGAAGGGATGGTGTTACAAAAGCACCATTCAGGAGAACATTAAAACTTTAAAGCAGGTTTTGCCTGCAAGAGCTGAGGCACGTGCTGATCTTGTAACTGGCCACTTTAGCCCAGGCTCCACGCTGGCTAGTAGGCTGAATCCTTATGGGTTCAGGATGTTGGCTGGGAGTGAACTTGCTCTGTAAATTGATAACAAGTCCATATACTGTATTTTTCCGTGTATTACACAACCCCATGTATAAGACGACCCCTATTTTTAGGAGCCCTCAACAGTTGTTGAGCTTCTTTTGTAAGTTTGCTGAGCTGTTGAGCAGCTTTTCGATGATCTGGCTGACGGAACTGGTGCTGTAATACACTGCATACTGGCACTCACCAAATACTCTTCCTAAGCCGGGAAGAGCATTAAGCAGCCTCCTCTCTGACATTTCTCTGCTACCACTGCAGCACCGGCCCTCACTTACTTAGCATATTAACCCATGTATAAGACGACCCTCAATTTATCACAAAAAAAAATCAGAAAAAAGGTTGTCTTATACATGGAAAAATATGGTAAATGCTACTTAAACTATAGAAGCCCCTCCAATTTGTTATTGATCATGCCTCAGAACCACCAACTACAGATGAAACTAGCACATCTAACAAGACATCTTGACCAGTAAATATACGAAATATAACTATATTGTGCTTGATGAAAAGTAAGTCTATGAGTTTTACATATACAACAGTGGCTCAAAAAGCTTTGGCTTTTTGGTGGGGAAGGAGCCTCAATTGTTCCCTATCTTTGCACATGTAGAAGGATCATTTAGTATTTAGGTATTTAATGGTGACTGCCCATCATCTCCTGTTGATTAGGAGCAGCTATTAGACATGATAATCACCCTCTTTGATATAACACTATTTATATAGACTAAACGATGACTGATGAAGAACAGTAGTAGTAGTAGTAAGATGATAATGCTATTTAAACGTATGTGGCTAATGAGATTTCGAACCAGGTTCGGTGCTTAATTCTGCAAATCGTAAAATGGATCTGCTGGGAGACTGAAAAGGTCTCCACTGAAAACAGAGCTCTAAAATAGCAAGGAATGACCTAGCCACACTCCAGCACTTTAAAGTCTCATTGAATTCCAGAAAAGGGAGAGTTAGCCACGTGCTTAAATGCCTCCCATGGAAAACAATGTTTAAGTGCTTGAGGCAGGCTATGTGGCACCTTTCTTGTACCTCATGGCTGGCCAGCCTCTAAAGCAGATTCTCCGTATCAACATATTTGTCCTCATGGAAACTGCAGCCACCAGGACCGAGGGCTGCTTGGGTGATTTTTGGTGTGGAACTGGGACGTGTGCCCAGAAGATAAAGTTGGCCCTGTTCCTCCTGGTGGGACAAGTGCCATCAGTGCAAAACGAAGCATGCACGTCGTCAAATTCCCTTGATATACAGTACTTAAACAGGTTTTAATTATTTCCAACATCAAAAGGCCCCCTCATGTGCGGCATCATTGTTTGCCAGAGAAAGCGCCACTCTGAACGGGGGTGAAGGGGTCTCTCCCCAAAATCAGACCCTCAGCATTTGCCTCAGTCACTGACAGGGGGAGAGGCGGCAATTTGTGTGGTGAAGCCTATTTGAATAGGGTATTGTTAGAATACTTATGGTCCACTTGACAAGGGCTCTTGCTGTAAATAGCACAATTTGACTCCAGCTGTTAAAGGGAGGTTTTGACAGTCGCTGAATGGGATTGTGGGGGGGAGGTGCTTTGCTGCAGAGGAGAGAAAATCAATACTGGCCTCTCGTTCAAAGCAACCTGCTCTTTTTCTTGTTCAGTTCTCCTTCCGGGTTTATATAAGGTGATCTGCCATTTAGAAAGGAAGACCTAGCTACTGTTTAAAAGCAGGGTTGGTTTGTGTATGTATGTGTGCATGTGCAGACTAAACCAGGCAACAAATGCTGGCAAAGTAGATATTTTTCTATCGGTAGATCTGTGATCCTAAATGAAATTGCACATAAATCCACATGAAAGCAAAGAGATCCACTTGGTTTCAGGCATTACAATTGCATTTCTGCATACAATCAGTTGCCTCTGTACTTCAGTTTTGGAGCTGGAACGACTGTCTAACTCTGCTTGTTTTTCCCCTAGCTGTTATTAAAAGTCCTACTAAATCCACAGCTGGGCAGTAAGACATTTATTAGTACCAAGCAACTTTCCAAAAGCCTGCCACTATTCTGTGATGCTGTCATTGGTCCTAATAAAGACATCACCCAACTGTGGATTTTTGATTTTTTTACTGGGCGATTTTTGCTTCTTAGAACAGATTCCTCTTCTGTGGACCTCTTGGGCTCCCTGACAGTGTGGCTTCCTCTATGGCCTGGTGCTGATCATTGCCATCCAGCCAAGCTGTGACCTGACACGCCTTAGTGACAGAATACCTGGCTAGGGGGAGCAAGAAGGCTTGGGCATGGGGCTTCCATGGCACCAAATGGTCTTTGGTAAACTTTCATAATATGGCACCCTGTGCGAGGCCAAAAATGGACACACCCAAACGGATCTCTCAATTATGGATGTGCTCAATTATATGGCTCTATGCTCTGTGAGGGGCAACCATCTAAATCATTTTGCAGTGCAAGGGTTTGATTGTGCAGGTACCAGCCCACCTTTAAAGATCATCGCTGCTCCCCACCACCCAAAAAACAGAAGAGAGGAGGAGTTCCAGTGCTGCGCATACCGCAGAGGAAAATATTTACTTTGCTCAATTCTTTGCTCAATCCAGTTTCCATTTTCTGCTTCTGTGTAATGAAAAATGAAAAACACAGAAGCATAACAATAGGGAGAGGACTCTTGGTTTAAGAGATTTTTCTCCTAAACAAAGAGTCCTGATTTTTCTCCTAAACCAAGAGTCCTTCCCCTATTGTTATGGTTCTGTGTTTTTCATTTTTCATTACACAGAAGCAGAAAATGGAAACTGAATTATTATTATTATTATTAATGCTTAATTGTGAGTGAATTTAATATGTAATAAACTACAGCTTGCATGTCAGTGCATTGATATAGTTCTCTAACACCCCGGAGTTAAAATGGCTTCAGAAATAAATGTGTTCAGCATCTAGGCCCACAAATGTAGTGGCACTTCCAAGATTCAAAGCTCCCAATTATGAGCATCTCTTTCTGTTGTCAGGAGCTGCTAGCTTTAAGTGCCTGGCTGGGGAGGAGGTGTGTGAGCCTCACTGAGAGAAGGAAGGAAAGTCTATCCCTGACAGCTTCAGACAATGCAAAGGGGGGAGGCAGCAGATCGATGCTCCCTCCCCCAATCTTGGAAGTCTCTGCTGCTCCTCGCCCCTCCACTGTCCCGCCCCCACCCCCGGTCAATGTAATGACAAGAAAATTGGTGTAGAGGCCAGTCTTGCAGCTAGATCATTTTAGACCCTGGACTTAATGGTCCTCCAGCACACGCACACACACTAAACAGTCATGTGTGTTACTCTGGTTAGGAAGCTGACTGCTCTTCTCTCTAGCCATGCCAGGGTCTGCAAATGCTCCTACATTCTTGGCACAAGAGAGCAAAAAATAAACAGCCCCCCGCCAAAACACACACACTAAAGGTTGGACAACCTGATAAAAAAAAGAGAAATACTTTTGAGCATGTGCCGTTTCATATTTTATACTCGCTTCAATCTCCAAGACTACAGGAATAAAACAAGGTTTGCTTCTGCAGCCCTGAAGCTATGCACATTTACCTGGAAAAAAAGGGGATAATAAGTATTTTTAAAGTGAAAAGAAAAATATAGAAATGGGCATCTGTAATCGCCTGCTTGCCTGCCTGGCTCTCCCTTCCCTTTAAAATGGTTTTAAAGGTATGAAAGGCTGCTGTGGGAGTAACCACTGTCAACCTCAGTGGGGCTGAGACCAGGCCTGCTTGCTGCTGGCCCACCCTGCACAATCTGTCGCTCCCCGGGTGGTCATTTGGTAGTGGGGGGCAGGGTGGAGGCTGGACTTTGGCCCCAGGTCTAGCCTGAGCTCCACCACCTTCAACATAGAGCCTTCAACATTTGCATGAATTCTGCTCCTATTCCTAAATGTGTGCTAAATGAAGCAGAGCTGTTTTGCATTGCAGTGTATGTGGAGAGCAGCAGCAGTCAATGAGAACATAGAAGCCTCTCAGATACCCTCCTGTCTTAGCTCTGCGCTGATAGGCCTGCCGCTCCCACCTTGGGTGCCAACAGCCAGCAGCTCTGACGTTTTGGGTGCTGGACAGCTCCCACACCCATATGCCGCGCTGGGGAGCTGTCCAGCCTCCTGGAGCCTGACAGCAGGCCTGGGTAGGTGCCTTCAGAGTTGTCCCCAGGATCAGGTTGCTTGAAGGTTGGCAGGGCGGGCAAGGGGGTACATGGTGTGCATGCCCTGGTCCCCCACAGCTTCTTGGCCCAAGGTCCCATGTCTGCCCCACTGCTGTGTGAGCCCACTGGGAGACTTTGGCTGTCAGGAGGTTACACAAGGGTCCTCCCCACCCTTCGCAAATGACTGGGAACTTGAAAAACAAAACAGAACTCTTCTCTTCAAGGGCACGGGCATCTTTGAAAAGGAGAAAGCTGTACTGACATTCAAAAAACCTGGTTTTATATGGAATTTTACTGTCACTGAAATTAACTCAAGTTTCATTTGAAGATAACGCAGCACAGCTATTTAAAGCCTTCTGAATGCCAAACAAAGGCTCATTTCCATGCTCAGTTATTACTGGCCCTCTGAACACTCTATGCTGGGTCTGGGATAATTTTTTTCCACTTGAAAATGTTTATATATTAATATAAGCAATTTGTAGATTGCCATTTATATTTCTTTTTTTAAGCATTACTGAGCCGCCATAACTTAAAATATCAGGGTGAAGTCCAACAATAAAATATAAAACATATTTAAAAACTACAGAAACCATAAAAGGGAGCACACTGAGGACAGAGCGGTCAAAGCAGCCTTGAAATACGCTTCTAACAAGTAGAACTTTCTGTGGCATATGAATCCGGACCCATTTTTGTGATATCAGTTTAAATCAAACAAACAAAACACACCAAGCCACCAAATGCAATTTCTGCCAGCCTCTGTAATCAAGTACAAGCAGCTCACTAAGCGGTGGCCTTTTCAGTCCAAAATGTTTGCTGATTTCGTGAAGCAATATTTTATACTCATAAACTGGCTGCAAGGTGGGAGTGCAATTCCATTTATCTTGATATTCTTTAGCTTTATAGAGCCTGCCAAAGTGTCCATCTGTTCGGCGGAGATTGCTTCCCCTCGCGAGTGGTCAGGGGGAGTGAGCTGGGAGAGGTCAAAGGAGCTTCTTGACCTCGGGTGTTTCTCGCTGGAGCAATTGGAGTAGAGGGAGCCGGGTGCCATTACGAGGTGCTGCTCAGCAAAGCAGCCCCCACTTTAATTGGTAATGATAGCAGGGAAGACACAGTGAAGCCACAGCCAGGAGAAAACAAAAGGCATCCAATATAGTAATTTATTACCGGTTGCTGGGTTTCAGCCGCTTGGTTGTTTTACCCCTGCCGCGGCCGCGGAGAGCAAAAAGAGGCTCCAGCACTTAATGCAAAATGGAGGCCTTGCTGCCGGCAGGGCAGCGTGGGGCTCGGAAGAAGATTGCCTCAGCTATTAGTTGGATCATGGATTTGTGCTTGTTGGCTCGGCTCTCCGGGCCCTTCTCTCCAGTGCATCAGCTGCAATTTCCGGCTTGCTTCTTTGCCTACAATTTGCCCTGCCAGTCTTCAGGCTGCTGAGCTGGTGTCAGCACTCAAACATGGTGAGATGTTGGGGCCCATGGAGCCAAAAGAGGTGCAGCTGTCCTCTGTGTTGTCCAAGGATGCCTCCGGCCCCACATTTACAGGTGCCAGGGGCTGCTGCAGACTCTCTGGGCAGTGGCCTGCGGTGTGCCAAGCGCTAAAGCTGCCTCTCCTCTTGAGCGTATGGGTGGGGTGGAGGAGGGCTGCAGGTGGTTGGCACCAGTGGGGGGTAAGTGAGGGTGCTCAGCAGAGAAGGGCCAAGGGAATCACTGGGAGTAGCTCCTCAGGCTGCTGTCCACCAGGCACATCTTAAGGAACCTGCTTTGCATTTTTGCTCATTGCTTCCCAGAGCCAGCAATATAGCCGGTGGTTGGAAGGACTTGTTCCCTTGCCAACCATTTTGTGTGGTTCTTTTAGTCCTACTTTGAATCCTGTCCATGATTCAGCTGCCTAGTTATTCCAGCTCTCTGCTTTTTGTTCCTTAAAGGTAAAGGTAAAGGGACCCCTGACCATTAAGTCCAGTTGTGGCCGACTCTGGGGTTGTGGCACTCATCTCACTTTATTGGCCGAGGGAGCCGGCATACAGCTTCCGGGTCATGTGGCCAGCATGACTAAGCCGCTTCTGGTGAACCAGAGCAGCGCACGGAAACGCCATTTACCTTCCAGCTGGAGTGGTACCTATTTATCTACTTGCACTTTGATGTGCTCTCGAACTGCTAGGTTGGCAGGGGCTGGGACTGAACAACGGGAGCTCACCCCGTCGCGGGGATTCAAACTGCCGACCTTCTGATCGGCAAGTCCTAGGCTCTGTGGTTTAACCCACAGCGCCACCCACGTTTTGTTCCTTAACCACTTGCTAATCCAAAAGAGGACCTTCCCTCTTATTTGATGTCTTTGTAGGAGTCTTTGGTGAGGAAGTTTTATAAAAAAGCTTTTTGAAAGTCTAAGTTCACAACTGTATCACCCCTCTCTATATGCTTGTTGACACTCTGAAAGAACTTGAAGAGTTTAGTAAGATAGAACTTATCCTTGCAGAAGCCCCGCTGCTTCCACTTCAGGACTTATTCTTCTATATGCTTTGTAGGTCTTAGTTTAACAACACTATCCACCAGTTTTCCTGGAATAAACATGCTAACCAGTCTGTAATTTCCGCGATCCTCTCAGTATTCCTTAAAAAAATGTTGCTACAGTGGCTGCTTTCCAGGAAGACTGAAACAGCCCCAAGAATCATTCATTTTTTCAAATAACGCATCCGATGGCAAAAGCATGGCACCAATATTATTTGAGATGTAGAAGAGGCATCTCTAACCCTGGTGCCCTCCAGATGTTCTGGACTACAACTCCCATCATCATCTTCCCTGACCATTGGCTGTGCCAGCTTCTAAGACCAATAGGAGAATTGTTGGTGTGGAATGTGTGATTATTCACGGTGCATATGAACATCTAATGAATGTTCAGATTTCTTGGGAGAAAATCTTTCAGGCAGATATAAATATTCAAATAGCATCTGGAAGATCTCTCCAAGGCAGGATCTGTGAAATGTGTACTGGAGAGATGTGTGCTTTGTAGAATGTGCAAGGACTTGGCCTCAGATTTACTCCTGAGTAGAAATGAGTTGGCGGGCCTGTATGTTGCTCACCTTTGGCATTCTGATTCCCCCAAGTTTTTTGGGCGTGACAATCTCTGGAGCCTTTCTGCCCTGTTCTGACTCTAGACAGAGCAGCCTCCTTGCAGCCTTTGACTTTTATTTCCTATCCAAAGTTTCTTAGCAAAAGGCAACAGTTTCTCATTTGCAGACTTAGCAGACCTAGGTGTAAAAGCATCCAGATTTCCTTGTTTTCAACAGGTATGAATAACCATTCCAGTGTCCGTGCCACTGGGAACCAGGCCTTTATTTAGAGAGCACTAGGGGTGTGGTGACCTCTCCCTTTAATGGAGGAGGGAGGATGGTTTTCTTTGCAAAACTACCACATGATTCCATTTCTTGGTTCCCTTGTGGAAGGAGAAAGCTTTGGTTGCTCCTGTTGTCTCTCGATTTAGCACTAATCCTGCCGTAGGATGCCTTGGCATCAGGAAGCTGGAGTGCCTGAAGAATTCAAGTGCTCTGCTTCCTAATGGACGTGTGCATTCTAAGTGGGCAAGACATAGTTCCTAGAAGCAGGTGAATCCCAGCGGCAAAGAGCCTGCAGAGATGAAAAGGTCACCTGGTAAAATAGCATTTCCATTGTACTTTCCATAAAATGTTTGTGTGGTGGGTCTGGCTTAGACCAGTTAAGGTTAATAGCCTGTGTTGATGCATTTGAGGATGAGGGGGAAGAGAAGAATGACCTTTCCCTGGAAGCAGGGGATTAGCCTCCTCTCTCTGCCGAGTTTTGCCAGAGACTCTTTCCCCCTTTTTAGTCACTGCGTCTGCAGTGAGCACTAGCAGAAGCAGCGAAGTCTTGGCTCTTGTTGAATTGCACATGGTAGTTCTACATGGAGGAACTGAAGCAGAAGGAGCAAAAATGGTGAAAGAGACTCTCCCCCCCCCCCATTGCAGTCGACACAGGCACCATATGCACCCTCCTCCCAAATTGACTTCACCTCTCACAGTTAAAATGTGAGAATTGCATTTTTATTTCACTCTGCCTGTTTTTAAAAGGAGCTTCCAAAACTTTTTCCAACACTGTCTTACAAGGCATTGGAAGCTGTAGTAGTCATCAAAGAAAGCAGTTTGCTTCAGGTGAGTGTGAAAGCATTCCACCTCTGAGCATTTCCTAACATACTTTTAAAATTTATACTTTCCCCTTCAACAGGTTTCCAGGGCAGCTTACAAAAAGTTAACATTACAATAGAACACCACCATACAAATCCATTTTGCCACCTGCCCACCTCTGAAATGCCATGCCCTGTTTGGGGTTACTTTGCTCTCAGTGCCATCTTGGAATAAGTAGTATTAGTAGTAGTAGCAGCAGCAGCAGCAGCAGCAGTAATAATAATAATATTTATACCCCACCCATCTGGCTGGGTTTTCCCTAGCCACTCTGGGCAGCTCACAACAGAATATTAAAAACACAATACAGCATTAAACATTAAAAACTTCCCTAAACAGGGCTGCATTCAGATGTCTTTTAAAAGTAAGATAGTTGCTTATTGCCTTGACATCTGATGGGAGGGCGTTCCACAGGGCGGGCACCACTACTGAGAAGGCCCTCTGCCTGGTTCTCTGTAACCTCACATCTCGCAATGAGGGAACCGCCAGAAGGCCCTCAGAGCTGGACCTCAGTGTCCGGGCTGAACGATGGGAGTGAGACAGGGCCTTGCCTGGAGTGCTCTCCCAAGAGAAACCCCTCAGACTCCTTCTGTGGGTCACCAGAGATTGAAGATGCTTTTATTTAACAGTCTTGACCTTTGGTTTGCATTCGCTTTTGGTTGTTGGTTGCATTTTGCTTTTAGAAATGGTTTGTTATATTTACCTTTCTGTTGACTATACTGTGTGCTGTGGGTAATTTTTAGTGGCTGAGCAAAATGTACATTATTCCTGTTCTTATTATTTTCAGCTACCCACTGCCTGCCATACCCAGTGGCCTTTTACCATCCTGCCTGTGAAGACAGAGCGACAGAACATCCATTTTTATGTCCTTCTCTTTGATTTGGAAAAATTGGCCGAACTCCTGCATTCAGCCCAGCTCAAGGGACTGAAGTCATCCAGCTCATTCCACAGCTATGATGCTCTAAAGAGAGCCAAAAGCACAGCTGACAAAAGGATGCTAATGATGAAACGAAACAGAACTTCTGGGTCACTCTTTCCGTTGGATGGGCAAGTCAAAGCTCCAGCTGAAGAGCAAACATTTGGGGAGAGTAATGCAGTTGGCTCTTTGGAACAAAGTGGCGGCATCAAAAGACACAAAAAGCCGAAGAGTTCAAAGAAGGTTCGGAGGCAGCCATCAGGAAAAGTCAATGTGAATGTTGCCATGGATGCAGCAAAGCTCCTCTTGTCATGCCTCTTGCCTTGGGGTGTGGATGGGGAGTTGGATGATCTCTGTGTTCAGTATTTAGATATCTTGAGACTTCTCTATCCAGTCTCACTTGGACTTATGTCGAGGAACAATCATCTCTCTCTGACATTGCCGGGATGGCGCTATGCCAGTTCCCCAGGGGCAGAACAGCAACAGGAGGCAAATCACTTGTTCTCCAGAAAAGTGCTGGATTTGTGTCACAGGTACATTAGTGTGGCCCAAGAGCAAACAGGAAGGGTCAATGGACACACAAAAAGCATCCGTACCACAGAGAGATCCCTGACTCTGAGTTATTTACTGAGAAGGATATATTTAGTTCAAAGGATATTTGGCAGGCCCTTAGAAAAGACCAGGTAAGAACTTCCATTTTCCAGTGTTTCTCTAATCCCAAGCAGGCAAAATGTTAGATGGCACAGATGGATGGGCAGACATTCCTTTGTCTGCCTATCATTTGTCATTCATAGTGTAGCCTAGTGCCATGCCCTGGAAACCCATTAAGAGTGTTTCCAAATTACTCTTAATTAACCCACATTTATATCCTTTGGTGTACCAGTTAGGATTTAGCTCCTTCTCATTTCATCTCCATGAAATGGGAATAATAATTTGCATCATTTATTTGTTTTGCTTGCTCTGTTTATTCCTTGCTTTCTAGAGGGCCTTACAGATGGTTCTCAGTTGGTTGACTCCCAGCTAGGCACTGCTCAGGGGCAGAAATCCTTTGCTACAGTCACTGAACTTTAGTCACTTTTGCTTTCAGACCATTTTTCTGGGCCATGATTGTGATGGAACTGTGTTTTACAGTGCTTATTCCACATATTGTCACGTCCCATAGGCTGCCACAAAAAGGGGAGCAAATGTCTCAGAAATTACCAAGGGCAGCCCCATATAGCTTAGGCTTCATTTTATGACATCTAGGCTTGAAGACATGAACAAAGATATATTTTGTGAAACAGATTCCAAGCCACTGTTGAAAACTGGGGTCTCCACATAACCTTAATTTATGTGGGAGGCTGAACCTTGTAAATAACGATTGGGCTTATATCCAAGGAACTAATGACATCTCCCATGCCTAGATTCAGTTTCAGGCACTGTCCCAATTCTCAACTTCACCGAAGCCACCAACCAGATTCTTTTTTTTTTTTAATGAGGAAAGAAGAGCTGGATACTATTGGTATCATGGCAGCATCTCACACTAAATACTTCTGCAAAGTCCTTGCAGGTAGGGGAGAGGAAAATATGGAAAAGGCTATGAGGAGGAGAAAAGTAGATCATCATCAATCATTCCTTGCTACCAGGAATGGAACCTGAGAGTAGTTTCCATTTGCCATGCTATCAACACTTCCTGCTCAAGAGTGTCACAGACCTTAGAGTTGGGACCTAGTGAGCCTAGGGCTTGCTGATCAGAAGGTTGGCGGTTCGAACCCCCATGACGGAGGTGAGCTCCCGTTGCTCGGTCCCGGCTCCTGCCAACCTAGCAGTTCGAAAACACAGCAAAGTTCAAGTAGATAAATAGGTACTACTCTGGTAGGAAGGTAAACGGCGTTTCCATGCGCTGCTCTGGTTCGCCAGAAGTGGCTTAGTCATGCTGGCCATATGACCCGGAAGCTGTATGCCGGCTCCCTTGGCTAGTAAAGCGAGATGAGCGCCACAACCCCAGAGTCGTCCGCAACTGGACCTAACTGTCAGGGGTCCCTTTACCTTTAGAGTCAGTCAATAGGACAGAGCTCATCTGTTACCCATCCCCACCCACCTCAGACATCATTCAGCACCTCTCCCTTATAAGGCATTATAAGCCTGGAAACTAGTAAAGGTATTGAAATTGAATAGCATACAATATTTGTAGTGCACATTTTGAGAAATTTCAGTCTCCCTACCTTGATAGATATAAATATAGACCAGGAAATGCCTGGTTGGGGCACTCCTGGTTTTCTATTTGCATATAAAAACTGAACCATGGAAACTGGCATTTCCCAGAATTAATTAAACTGAGGAGTTGAAATTGGCAAGTTGCAGGAATCGTTCCAAGACGCAGTAAGAAGGCCCCTTGTTTGGTCTACCCTTTTGACACTTCCTCCAACACCATGTTTGGTCTACCCTTTTGAAAGTCCACCATTAGTTGCATTTTTATTACTCCTGCCCTTTAAACAGGAATATCAAAATGAAGTTGTTTGGTTGGTTTGCTTGTTCATACCCACTCAAGGGCACATTTATTTTGCTGGCTGCTCCTTCAGCATCTGGGCAGGAGAGAAACAATATGTGCCGTGTTTTTAGCCAAGCCAAATGGAGCATGCTAATTAGACAACTGGTGTAGGTGATCATTGTCCTTCAAGAAACCTACATGGCTCTTGGGTCTGGCCTTCTAAGGACAACTAACTTGAAAGTTGGGGGGACGAGAAAAATTGTACTGCTGGTTCTGCCAACAGTCAAGGCAAGAAGAAAAGTGGCTGTGAGGGAGGAGCCTGTGGCAGGCAGGCAGGAAGTCTAGATGGCAACTGTGCAGCTGCCAGTCATTTCAAAGGGCTGCTTTATGCCAAGGGCCTCCCATGACTGGCAGCTTATATTGATGAGGAGCACAGTCCTTTCCCAGGCCTGCTTCCTTGGATGCTGGGAACTGAGCCTGACAAGTCAACACATGCAAGAGGCTGGGGGTTTGCTTTGCTGTGGACTGTGGGCAAGAGAAGGGCCAGGCAGATGATTTTTCACACGGGATCCTTGTTGCTTTAAGCAAGTGAGCCTGCTTTCTGTGCCAGCCACTGAGGACAAATGGCTCTTGGGAAGTCTTAGCAGGCTGCCCAGCTTCACACTCTTTGATCATCTGAAAGATAGCTGTACACTACGGGAGGGTCCTCCTCCAGTTATATATGTATATTGGGTTAGAGCCAATGTTAGTCCTACTCAGAGTAGACCCATTGAAAATAATGGGCATTACTTACTAAGGTCCATAAAGGTCAGTAAGTTTACTATAGCCCAGGATTGCTTAGTGGTATCTCTGCTTGCCTGCACTGATCTCTTTGACTCTTATAACATTTCCCCTCAGTCGCCAGAAACTGGAGTCTGCACGCAACAAATGGAGACCCACACCATCTCTTGGGACCACAAGCTCTTATGAAGAGTCCACTAAACGTGAGTATCAGGAGACAGTGCAGAATTATGGCAGACACAACCCATGTTTGTTTTCTAGACATGACAGCATTGAAAACACATTTCGAGGTGCTGAAACATTAATGTCATCCTGTGCGTAGTGAGAAGGGAGCCTGAGTTTCCATATGTTCCTCTAGTACCTTCTGAACTTTGAACTTCTCACAACACTCAAGATGCCCCAGGTATCCTTACTTTCATTTAAAACACTGGTCCATCATGATCTCAACTATTTTCAACTGGTAGGGCAGCTAAGCCATGTGGCCTGAAGCACTGGTGTGATGCACAGCAGTTGTTTCTCAGCCTCTGGCTTGTGAACTTGAAAGATGTTGGGCCAATAAATCATTTCAGTGCTGCTACAAGTGGGCTTTCCTCTTGTTTTGTGAGGTATGACTGCTAAGAGATGCCATTTGGGGTTTTTACTTATGGGTGGTGAGTGACACCACCCTCCATATGAACATTTCAAACTTCCATTATCGTAAAAGAGAAAGAGAGAGACCTAAGTTAGCGTTCCTTCCAGCAAAACTGTTGTATGAGTAAGATCCCCCCCAAGCAAAGCTTCAGCATTGTTGATAACAAATTCTTAGCCTAGTGACTATCCAAGGCTTCATAGTTTTCATTATGACTTGATTTTAGCTAGAACTGGACTGTTCAGGGAAGTTTTTAATATGTAGCACTGTACTGTTTTTAACACTTGATTGGGAGCTGCCCAGAGTGGCTGGGGAAACTCAGCCAGATGGGCGGGGTATACGGTAAATAATAAATTATTATTATTATTATTATTATTATTATTATTTCATGCTTTAATGCATGGGTAGGTGAACTAACACGGGTGGCGCTGTGGGTTAAACCATAGAGCCTAGGGCTTGCCGATCGGTAGATCGGCAGTTTGAATCCCTGGAGAAGGGGTGAGCTCCCGTTGCTTGGTCCCTGCTCCTGCCAACCTAGCAGTTCGAAAGCACATCAAAGTGCAAGTAGATAAGTAGGTACCACTCCGGCAGGAAGGTAAACGGCATTTCCGTGCTCTGCTCTGGTTCGCCAGAAGCGGCTTAGTCATGCTGGCCACATGACCTGGAAGCTGCACGCCGGTTCCCTTGGCCAGTAAAGCAAGTGCTGCAACCCCAGAGTCGTCTGCGACTGCACCTATTGGTCAGGGGTCCCTCTATCCTTTACTAGGCAAACTAATGCCCAATCACCTTCTAAATCCGGCCCGCAGATGGTCCGGGAATCAGCGTGTTTTTACATGAGTAGAATGTGTGCTTTTATTTAAAATGCATCTCTGGTTATTTGTGGGGCATAGGAATTCGTTCATTATTTTTTTCAAAATATAGTCAGGTCCCCCACAAGGTCTGAGGGATAGTGGACTGGCCCCCTGCTGAAAAAGTTTGCTGACCCCTGCTTTAATGTCATGATCATATAAACCTATGAATAACCTGTTGCAGGCGGAAAAACATACAGATGATGTAAGAAGAAGCTGGCTAGTTTCACTTCTCCCAATTCCTGGCAGCTGCATGGGCCACAAGATTCCCCCCCCCCCATAAGCAACAGCTTTTCTCACCCCAGAAGCAGCATGCAATAAACTCATAAAATCTGATCATGTCTTTGTCTTCATAACTTTTAACCATGAGTCTTGTAGCACCTAATATATTTATTGTAGCATCAACTTGGTCAGATGTGTTTGATTTTTCAGTATACCCATAGACCTTTGGCTCAGAGCTAAATGAAACAACCTCCCCCTTTTTGAGAGTTTGCCCAATGTGACCTGCAAAAAGTCAATATTCATTTGTTGTTATAAACAGCGGAAGAAATTTCAGGAGTGGACAGGCAGGTGCCAGATTCCTCAAGGAAATGCATAAGGCGTATATCACATCCTAAATTATAGTCAGATGGGGAATCCTTTAAATAACCAGTCCCCTTCCTCCAAAAGGATGCTGAATATGAAAGTTGGAAGCTGGTTGTCTGAAAGGGCCCAGGGAACAAAGCTGCTCAGTTTTTACCCAGAGTAAGCTCCATTGAATACAGTGGGACTTCCTTCTGAGCAGACAGTGTAAGGCTTCATTTACAATAAAGGAATCAACATTCCAGGTGTTTCCTAGTAAATGGCTGCCTACAGTAGCATTGCAATTAGAGAATTTAAAGTGGATTGGTGGCCTTTTTCTTCAAAACTAAAGGAAGGGCTTCACCATTTCCTTCATTTGGTGCAGGGATTTTATTTTCCCTATAAACAGGACTCCAATTTTGCACCTACACACACACACACACACACACACACACACACCACTTTTAATTGTTCTCTGAGAATATAGATGGAAAATAAGATATGGCCACGCATGAATGAATAATAAATATAATGGAACCATGGAGAGGGTAGAGGGAAGTCAAGGGATTGGAGAAATCCCACACTGCGATATTGTATTGATGTTTATTTTATATTGTTTGTTATGAATAAAACCAATAAAAAATAAATAAAAATAAAAATTGTTCTCCGAGACATAGAGGGAAGGAAAAAAGAAAACCAGGACATTCCAGGATCAAATCAGAAACTGGGATGGCTTCTTGTAATTCCAGGACTATCCCTGGGAAATTGGGACATTTGGAGGGTATGTGAGGATTGAACATGGAGCCTTCTGCCTGCGTGGGGCCTCTGCCCCGTCATTAAGTCACAGCCCCGCTTTGCTTCTCCCCACACCAACTTCTCCCATTTTCTATATCAGCTCCATTAGCAGTTCCAGCATCCTCAAGATATTCCTTACTGCTCTTTTTCCGTTTAGCTTTATATAGCTCATATGTGGGTGATTTATGGGTAATTTAGTTATATCCTTAATTCTTTACTGATAAGAAAAATAGCCATTGGTAACCAAGACTAAAAATAAGGTATTGGTTTTTTTAAAGCTGGGAGAAATAGATACTCTCCTACGCTGATGTTATGTAAGTAAACTGGAGACCGTAGGGCATATTGCATTACACCCCAGGATGGATTTTCTTCAGGGGAGGGACCTTGGAAATCAAAACTGAGGAATCCGGAACTTCAGTTACATGTGATTTGATATGTGTATTGTCAAGTGGATTAAATTTAAGTGGGCTGTATATTGCAAACAGAAAGTTCAGAGGTAGTCAACAATACCAGGATTGTTAACTTGTGTACAAGCTTCCTGTTTAGTTGCAAATGCTTCATGAAACTTCTTTTCTTAAACTGCCATCATCTTTTACAAGGCCTTCAAGACAAGTTGTTCTGTTTTAAAGGCCTGGTGCATTGTTATACTTCAACTGGATGCAGCCTGACTAAGAGTGTTTCCTCTATTTTCAGACATATTGGGGTTTCCTGTCCATGAACCAGAGAACAGTTCACTTGTCAAACTTATTTCTTCTTGGAGAGACCAATCCATAGAGGTAGGAAGTGGGTGCTCTTCTGCCATTGAGAACCATTGAGAACTATTGTGTAGGCTTCCTTGAAGCAACAAAGTGCAAAGAGACCTTGGATAGGTGGTGGCAATCCACTGCAGACTGCTGGCATGGGGAACAATATATGGTAGCTGAGACATTTGGTGCGACAGAGAAGCCCACAGTCTGTTATCTGTTGGTGATGCACTTGGTGCCGAAATCCAGCCAGGATCGCCTTCCTTGTCAGCATAGTGTGTCCTGCAGGGGCACCTTGGCATCTAACCAAGGTCAGCTCATGTGCACAAGGGAATCCAGACCAAAGCAGCTTTTGCAGATCTGGGGGAATCAGGAAGGCCCCACAGCCTCCAGGTCTCTGCCTTGATTCAGGACCAGTCAGTGGCGTAGCGTGGGGGGTGCAGGGGGGGCCGGCCGCACCGGACGCAACATCGGGGGGGGGGCGCTCGCACTCGCAGCTCTCTGCCCCTACCTGGCAGAGTAGCCTACCACGGGTTAGGGGGCGCAAATTACTTGCCTTGCCCCGGGTGCTGACAACCCATGCTACGCCACTGGGACCAGTTCACCAACACAGACACAGCCTGCTGAAACCATGAGCAGAAACTCCATGTGACATATTTGTTGCTGACCTGTCGGATTTCCAGTGATTGCCCTACACATGTGTAAGACGATCGTGTCAGGGAATAGGCTGGCCCTGAACCTTTCGCATATTGTGCTAGTTCTGCATGTATAGAAATTATCTGATATGGACGACCATGCAAACATCTGAAATAGCGCTTTGCATATAAAAAGGTGATGCATCTAGGGGAAAGTTTTGGCCTAGCCATCTGTCTGATGTGTCAGTGTGTGGAGAGGTCTTTTTTTCTTTTCTTTTTGACTGTTCAAAGTCAAAGAATATCAGGAACTGGCTGCTGTGTATGTGACAAGTGGTTGAAAAGTTCTCAGCCTCTCCAGTCTGATGGGCAGGAGAGGTTCTGGTCACCTCCTCAACCCCACCTAGCTGTAGCACCCCCAGGCCCCTCTTCTTCACCCCCTCCTATCATGAAGCCAGTTGCCACTGATAGAGCAATGCAGCAGGGCAAAGGGTCAGCCTAGCTTTGCCTTTCCTCTGCACTGAGCATCCTTGCATAGGTGCTCAGAAGCATAGGTAAGTAAGTAGGCCTTCCCTGCTCATTGCCCCCTCCCTGAAGCAGTGTTTGGGAGAAGAGGGGCGGGGGGAAGGAGGCCTGGGCTTGGGGCAGGACAGCCTAACATCCTCCTCACTGACCGCCTGCATCTCTGACAGATGACTGAAGCCATTCAGGCTGCTCTGCTGGCTGAAGTTCGGCAGGGCCTGAGAAACCGTCGGAAGACCTTGGCCAACGGTCATGGGCAAGCAAGTGCCAAAGTGGAGGAGCAAAGGACCGAGGAGCCAGAGATAATAAAGAGCCACCCCTTGCTGGGTAAGTGTCTCATCTGTTGGTGTGAGGGCAGGTTAAGGTGGATGGAGAAGCATTTCATTTCTGAGATAAGACCAGGGTTCTCCATCCCAGAGTTCCTGCAACTGCAGATCTCCCTCAGGTAGTTGCTGCTACTATTCCTGTTCATCATCTCCATATTTAAGGTGTGGAGGGGAAAGGGTGTTGCTTTGTGTAAATGTTCAAAATGCTTCTAGTATTTCATTCTTGTGTATATTGGAAATATGATTGCAAACAATTGATGCATGCCATTTTATAGATAACATTAGTGAACAACAAATTATACGGAAATGAGCAGATGTTTTCAGATTTATTTTTTATCAATGAGATCAGACTGCTGCTCCAATTTTATAACTTCATACTATGAAATGTGGAGTTTTTATGCTTTGGTGGTAGAATAATCCACATTGTGGAAATTAGTTTTACAGCTGCATCATTTCATTTTACAGTGGGCCTAGTTGCTGTTACTTTTAATGGTGTTCCTGTTGATGGGCAGGAAAGTCTGATTCAGAATTTATGTTATGAGATGATATCCAATTTTCTTTAGGCCATTAGCTGAGCCTTAAAATTAAGTGACCTGAAGTTTACATCCAATCCTATTAGTGACTCTTCTCTGTCATAGCTAATTCATAATCTCGTGGTGTGCATGTGTCTGTCATGAAGATTTGTGGCTAGCACGTTTGTTCCAGGAATCTAAGAAAAGTTTAAAATTTTCAGCCATAAAGAACACGGTTGATAGTTTCAGTTGTGCTAATATGGACATGCATGTGGGATTATTTTTTGTTTTACAGTGGGTTCCCCTCTCCTGTCCCCATTCTACACCAATATTTTGGTATTAAGATTTTTATTAAAGTCATAATACCACAAGATATAGAAAACTAATGTACATTTTAAAAGAGACAAAAACAGCTACCAAAGAGAAAAGAAAAAGAAAATAATATTTGTCATGTCAGGTTCCCCCAGGTGCAGGTTACATCAGTGTGGGACCCCTGAGCATTCATGGAGTCACAGTTCACCATGTGTAACCTGCGTATACTAGAAGGTTGTTTGGTTCGAATATTTAGGAAGTGGTTGTGCATTGTGAACTCTGGTAGGCACCATTCAGGAAGAGCGCCTTGTGTCAACCCACTTGGAAAGAAAGGTGTTGACAGCTGAATCTCAGCAAGAAGTGGGCAGTTTGTTGTTCACAAAGACAGATATATGCTAATACATTAGAAAAAACTTGTTGAAATATATAAGCAATTTCCTTCTTTCCTGGAATCTCTTCCTTTCCCATCCTTAGCTATTTTTGTACCAAGGCTGGAGAGGGATCCATGTTGTATGTTTTCAGTCATAAGGTGTCCTGCTTGAGGATGAGGATGGTTGGGCTTGGTGATCCTTTCATCTGCCGTTTGGTCTTTACACAAAACCCAACTGGGCCAATTGGCATGGCTCTGTCTTCAGTTATCAAGTCAACACTGGTATGTTAAAAGAACCCTGTCTAGGTGCTGTAAGTTCTCATTAGCCAAGCTGATTCAAGCCAGAGCTCAAGGGGACCTTAATGAAATCCACAAGCCTCACCCATAAGTACCCTCCCATTTTAGGCAAATGGTGCCCCCTCCCCATGTGGCTAATGTCCTAACAGAAAAGGTGACTAGGAGGGACCTGGGCCACTGTCATTCCTGGACTGAGCCACGGCCTTCCAATCTTCTTCTTCTGCTGAGGTGAATATCTGTGTTCACTCCCAGGCTCTTCCTTGGCTACAGAAAGGGGATGTGGCAGAATAGAGGCAGAGTATTCTGAGCTGCTGAGGTGTCTCCTGCCACCAGAAGTGGTGACAGCCACTTTACTTCAGTGGCTCTAAAGACGGGATTTGACAAATTCAGAGAAGGAAACAGTTTGACAACGGTCCTTAGCCATGATTGTTCCATGGAAGTACTGTGCTCTTGAACTACCTCGGTAGAGGTCCCTGCCAGCACATTTCTCCTTCTCCTCCTTCTCCTCCTCCTCCTCTTGTGGAATATGCATCACTGAAAGACATTACACCCTTGTTTCATATTACAGCCCTTTCCTGTAAAGGAACACAACTCAATTTTGTATTTTATCATCCAACCTGTGGTTTAACTTGGCTACTGTATCATCTCATAGACATTCACTTAAAACTGTACCTTGATCCAATATTCTCTAATATTAGTGGTCAAGTATTGAAGGAAGCAAAATGGAAGACTCTGTAGAACTGCAGCTTATTTCATTCTTTGCTTCATATATTTTACCAGACATAACTCCTTAATGCAACAGAAATCAGATTTGTTGTGTATTTTTACACAAAATCCAATTGTGCAGGCGCCATACCAGGCTCATCCAAAACATTAGAAAGGATACGGTTCTGCTAGGATATTGTTGAAACTCCACACGGAAGCAGCAACACTTTGGATGCCAAGGCACAGGAAGTGCCACTGTAAAAGGTGGTGTTGACTGCTCTCCATCTCTGGTGGGTGGTTTTGGGGAAAGATGAATGATCCCGATCGCTATTATTTATTTATTAAAATTATCCCACCTGATGTAACAAAACAATAAACACACAACATTCAATGAAACTTGGTAAAAACAAAACACAACTCTCTCATACAAATAACACTGTTATTGTTGTTGTTTAATCGCTTAGTCGTGTCCGACTCTTCATGACCCCATGGAGACCCCCTGTCTTCCACTGCCTCCCGCAGTTTGGTCAAACTCATGTTTGTGGCTTCGAGAACACCATCCAACCATCTTGTCCTCTGTCGTCCCCTTCTCCTTGTGCCCTCCATCTTTCCCAACATCAGGGTCTTTTCCAGGGAGTCTTCTCTTCTCATGAGGTGGCCGAAGTATTGGAGCCTTAGCTTCAGGATCTGTCCTTCCAGTGAACACTCAGGGCTGATTTCCCTAAGAATGGATAGGTTTGATCTTCTTGCAGTCCATGGGACTCTCAAGAGTCTCCTCCAGCACCATAATTCAAAAGCATCAATTCTTTGGAGATCCCAACCACCCTTATTTTTATGCAATGCCTCCCCAATTGCACCCAAGGCTACTACCGCCCCCCTGGATCGTTCCAGTGCCCCCCAGGGGACAGTATCGCCCACTTTGGGAAACATGGACCTAGATAAACCTAAGTTTTTAAGAGGCATTGAAAGGTTGTTACTGTGACTGTCTCACAAACTACCCGATGGAGGGCATTCCAGAGGCTCACTTACACATCGTCAGCAAGTGGCAGTCCACCAAGGACTATCCTCTTGGGAAGATCTTAGAGACTGGCTTGGTCTGTACTAAGTATTCTGGTCCCAAATGGGGCTTTAAATGTTGAGAACTAAACCTTGAACTTGGCTCAGTGGCTAATAGAACTTTCAACGCTGATGGGTAAAGCTGGGGGCCCCACTCCCAGAAGCTGCTGCAATTTGCACTGGTTGTGCTTTCTGAATCAAGCACAAGGGTAGAGAAGAAATAACTAAAAGCCGGAGCTGAGGTCTTATGGGGGTATTTGGGGCCTTCCTGCTTTCCTACACTTATCTTACTATCTTCTCCCAATGGGGGCTGGGCAAGAGAAGAAGAAGCCAAGTTGCCCTGAACTTTTTATGCTTAGATTTGCTGCAGAACTTGCTGCTTCTAGTTCCTTCATCTAGCGAACATGACTGGACCTGGTGTTGCGTTGTGGCATCTGAAAGCATCACACAGATTTTGGCCCACCTGACATTTGGTGGGGTCATCAAGATTTGTGCTTCGTGCACTCCATGCATTTTTGAAAACCTCAACTAAGCATCTGCCCACGTGGGCCTGATATCTGCTGCAGATAATGCACCCATCAATCCATTCCGCTAGAAACTCTAAAAATAAATTACAAACAAGCAAACAGAAACTGGAGATGGGAAGCTGCCTCTGCAGTACCTCAGCTCTGCTGCTCTCCTTCCACAGCTAACCTCTGTCTGTCTCCACTGCTGAGCCTCATCCATTTCTCTCTCCCCCTGACATTTTGCCTTTGCTAGATCACAAACTGCCTTTTTAGAATCCACCTGGAAAGGGAATGCCTTTCCTCTGTGCCACAACCAGCATGAGCTGAGCTGATGGTTTAGGATTGCCAGCTTCAGGTCCTACCTGGGGAAGCCCACTTGCCTCTCAGCCATTACTGTAAGGATGAGTCATTTGCAGGAGCATAACAGCAGCAGTTTATGGCGCCATTTCTCTTAGAAGCTCCCAGTCGTCCTCTCCTTCCCAGGTCAAACTGGGGGTCTTCTTCCTTGGGCCTGATCCAAATGGCTGTGCTCTCCAGCATATGGGTTTTAAGAACGGTTGTGTGCCAGAGGAGCTGAAGCTAGGAACAGAGCTTGAAGCAGGTGACAGCTCGGCTGCTTGGAAGGTGATTTGATGTGATCCTCGTCCACTGCACCAAGGAATGAGAAGAGGCACCAAGAGACTCACCCACGCGCTGATGCACACAGTTAACTTTGCCAACAACCCACTGGAGCAGCAAGGCAGCCAGCCAGCTAAGGTGCCTTCTCTGCTGTGTCCACCTGTGTTTCCCAAAATCAAGCTGGTAGAGCCCATTAAAATTCTTGTTTGTTGAATTCTCTTAGCTAAAATTGCCAGTCATAAATTGCTGCAGTCACCAGAAAGTATAGTTTCTGATCCTTTCACTTAAACATCAACTTGGCTGTGTTAGGAACCCAACCATAAAACTGTAATTCAGTGGCTAATATTTTTAAAATCTGTGAACTGTAGAGTGGCTGCTCCCGTCATTTGAGCTGGACTGAGATGGCTCAGGTGCCAGAATGTTCAGTCTTCTCTTGCATCCATCCCTAAGTGGCTGGAGAGGCTGCTTGCTTAAGTTTGCTCTCTCATACACCAGACAGTCAGTGCAAAAGGGACAACAGTGTGTGCTAAGAGATACGCCAGTCAAGGACTTGACTTGCTCACAGAGCCATTACTCTAAAATAGGGGTCTAGCCTGGAGGCCTGATGCAGCCCCCCTGACCCCCACCAAGTGGAGTGGAGTTAGCAAAAAGAGCCCCCCCCCCAGAAGACATGCCCCACAACATCCAAAGTGACTTGGGAGGAGTTCCTGAAATCAATGCCACTGGAGCTGTAGCACAGAAACTTGAGATTCGCCTCTGCCTTGGAAGATCCCTTTATGGTGTCCCTTAGGTATCACTCTCTACAGTGGCACCTCGGGTTACATACGCTTCAGGTTACATACGCTTCAGGTTACAGACTCCGCTAACCCATAAATTGTGCTTCAGGTTAAGAACTTTGCTTCAGGATGAGAACAGAAATCGTGCTCCGGCTGCGCGGCAGCAGCAGGAGGCCCCATTAGCTAAAGTGGTGCTTCAGGTTAAGTACAGTTTCAGGTTAAGTACAGACCTCCGGAACGAATTAAGTACTTAACCTGAGGTACCACTGTATTGTAAAATGGCTTAAAGACAAATAAAAACCCTGCATTTCATAGAGGCTGACAATGTCAAGGTTTCAGAAGGTGTAAGCACAGCTCCCCGATATTCTTGCCTGGTCCCAGAACAGCATAGTACGGATTGATTATATTATT